CTTAATCTAACTATCTATCTATAGATATTACGTAGTAGAGATATACCCTTCTATATCTTAAGCTTTAGTTTAGTCTTACTAGAACTAACTAGTAATTAACTTATTTTAATTACTAATAATAGCTTTAGGTATACTATACTAGTATTTAATCTCTTAATATAAGATCTTTACTAAACTTATAGTATCTAATTACTTAGTTATCACTAGAAATCATACTACTTTAGTTATTTAATATATAACTACTAAGATTATATTATATATAATCCTATTATCTTAATAACTCTTTAGTAAGCTAATTAAGAAGTTTAAAGAAATCTATTAAAATAGGTATACTAGTAATTCTAGTATTTATAGCAGTCTATATAGCTTATACTATAGTATATATACTCCTTAGTAATATAAGCACTTAGCGATATATCGCTATATATCCTCTATTAGGTATAGCTAATAGAATTTTTATAGGATTAGCTCTACTATCTTATTCACCCCTATATACCTTAATCTAAGTATATTATAGTAGTTTTTTAGGATTTTATAGTAGAAAGATCCCTCTTCTAGGATAATAAGTCTTCTTCTAAACTAAAAGATATTATTCTTATTAAGTTAGTACCCTTAGTGTTCCCTAGCGTCTTAGTAAACCTTAGCTATAAGTTCTCTATAGAAGTAGTCTTTAGCCTATAGTCCTCTAACTATCTATTTAAGATTCACACCTAATTATAATATATATACTATTTCATCCTAAATAAGCTCCTTTATTATAGTATATAAGATATACTACTCTAATATAGTAATTTTAGCTCCCCCTAAGTCCTCTAGTATATTACTATCTTCTTATAGAGTAATTAGTATAATATCTATATATAATTTTAAGTAGGTAATAACGCTAATATATATACTTTAATATAGTAACTTATTAATACCCTTTATAAGATAGTACTAACCTAAAGGTAAGGATCTCTTAACCTTAAAGCTAGCCTTCTAGTAAGGTTCTTATATACTTTACTAAATAGTTTAGATATAAGTTCTTATAATAGCTATAGTTCTTTTAAGCTTAGTAATATATTAGTAAGTTATTACTAATAGCTAGCTAATAAGTCCTAGCTTCTTCCTAAAGGTAGGGAGTATATTATCTACCCTAAAGTCTTCTACTATATAGTTAAAGCGTTATAACAGTCTATCTACTAGATTAGTAACTCCTAATCTATATTAAATTTCAAAATTAAATACTAATAGGTAGTAGACCTATTATATAAGCCTTCTATAAATATCACACATAAGTACAGTAAGTACCCCCTTTAGTGCTATATAGTCTATAAGTACTAAGAATTTCTCAGGGAGCCCTTAAAGGTACTATACCTAATAATCTAAGCTTTCTATAATAGCAAAGAGCTCTTATTACCTTATAGCTTAATATCTTTCTATATCTAAAAGCTTCTTTAACTAGAAGGTTATTAAGTACTAAATAGTATTATATTTCTATAAAAGTATACTAAATACTACCTAAGTAGATATATTAGTCTTAACCTTAGTTTCTAATGCTAGGTTATAATATCTTAATATTAGGGCTTTAGTAAACGCTCTCTAAAGTATCTTAAATATAGTCTATATCTCCTCTATCTAAATAAAAGCTCCTAACTTTATACTGTTTTAACTTCCTTTTAGCGCGCTATTTATAGGAGCTGTAATATAAAAGTATTTAGTAATAAATTTATAATAAAAGTTATAGAAACTAAAGAAAACTTAGATATCCCTAAAAGACTTTAGTACTAGCTATTTAGTAACTACTTAGATTCTATTTAGGTCTATTTTAATATTATTTTAAGTAATATAGAACTTAAGGAAATCTATTTCTATTTAGTAGAAGTTATACTTCTTTAGTTTTATAAATAGCTTAATAGCCCTTAGGCGATATAGAACTATATAGAGGTCTTTAGTATATTACTCCTTAATATCTAAATAGATTAGAATATTATCTAGGTATATAATATAGTAAATATCTAAAAAGTTAATAAGTATTTAGTAAATATATACTTAGAAGGTTACTAGAGCGTTTATAAGCCTAAATAGTATTACTATATATTTAAAGTACCTATATTAAGTCTTAAATATAATCTTCTATCTATCTACTTTATTAATTATAATTTTATAATATACCTCACTTAAATTAATCTTAGAAATAAACTTTATATTAATAAACTTATCTAGGAGCTTACTAATTAGTAGTAAAAGGTATTAATTCTTTATTATAATTTTATTTAGTCCTCTATAATCTATATATAACTATAAACTACTATCCTTTTTAAGTATAAATAGGACTAATACCTTAGTAGAGCTAGTTAAGTAGTAGATATATCTAATTACCTCTATTTCTTAAATATATTTAGTAAGGGTTTATAGCTATTCTACTAATATAAGGTATATTAACTTATATAGGGGCTCTTTACTAAGTTTTAGCTTAATATAATATACTACTCCTTTTAATTTAGAGACCTTCTTTATATTTTCCTTATTAAAAACGTTAGTAAAAGGTTTAAGTTCTTTAGGGATATTCTTCTTATACCTCTTATCTAGTAAGCTTTTACCTAAAGTATTAATATCTTTTTTATCTAAGACTAAAGCTTCTATTAAATATATTATATAGGCTTTCTAGCTGTTTTCTATAATCTCTTATATTATTACCTCTAGCTTAGTAAGTAAGATATAATTATATAACTAAGTATAAGTATAGGTATTTATATAGATACCTTCTCTATTTATTAAGTTATTAGATAGAAGGATATCTCCTACTCCCTTAAGATATAAGCTAGCTATAAACACTCTCTAAATCTTCTATAGATAGCTTTAACTATTAATTAAGAAGAGGGTAAGTTAATAAACTTTATTAGTAAGTATTAATCTTCTTTAAAAATCTATTAACTTTAGAGCTATAATACTAATAGCCTCTTTTAGTAAGAGTTTCTTAATAAGGTCTTCTTATATAAAGTTTACTATAGTATAAATATCTATATTAACTAATAGTTTAACCTTATTATATACTTAGAGTATAATTACTTAACCCTTAATAATCTACCCTATAGGAACTAAAGTGATTTCTAGCGTAATACCTTTTAGGGTTACCTCTATACCTACTTATTTCCTAAGTCTTTAGCGTTATTTATATAAGAGACTATAATAATATTAATCCTACCTTATCTTAAGTTTAAGTTCTAATTACTACTTATAGGTTATATATATAGTTTAGTATAATTAGGGGATATATACCTATATTTCTTATAATTATAGTACTAAGTTCCCTAAAAATTAGAAAGCTTACTATTAAAGCTAAGCCTTATATAGAGGTTTACTAAATAATTATTCTAAGATAGAGTTTTTAGATAGCGCTCCCTTAGGTCTATTAACTAAGGAGGTTATAAGCTACTTTTATAAGAGTAGTTTAAAAAGCCTAAGTGTAGTTACTTATATAACTTAGAATAGCTAGTAAGCCTTCCTATATATCTCCCTTCTAAAATCTCCTATAGTCTCTATATATATAAAGCTATAGTATATATATTAATATAATTAATATCTTACTTAAAAAGCTTATCTTTTAAGGTCTTAGTAAAACCCTAAAAGAATATATAAGCCTTTATATTACTTATATTTAGCTTACTAAGGGCTTAATTAATAGACTCTTAATAAGCTTAGTATATAATAGGTTTTTTATCCTCTTTCTAGTAGTACTACTTTAAGGTATTATAGTAGTTCTATTCTTAGAGTTTAAGTACTATATATTACCTTCTTATAAAAACTCTAAAATCTTCCTATATAGGGTTAACCTACTTCCCTAATATATCTATAAGTATTTACTAATAAGTTTACTATTCTATTTATAAGGTATACTCTACTATACTTAAGGCCTACTAGATATACTAGTTATTAGAGTAGCTAGGGTAGTACTTATAAGCCTCCTCTACTATAATAAGCTAATCTTCCCTTTCTATACTAATAGATTTATTAGTAAAGTAAGCTATATTATAGTTTAAGGGTTTCTTATAAACCTTTAGTAACTATTTAGTAAGTATTTAGTTACTTAATATAGTAGTAATTAGTTTATACTAGTTAGCTATTATAGTTATAATTTACTATATTAATACTTAGTTAATAGCTTTATTTAGCCCTCTAGCTTAGGCTAACCTATAAGTAGTAGCTATAGACGTTTAGCTTTATAGCCTATCTAATCTATAAAGAGGGGTCTTATATTCCCTATTCTCCTATATATACTTATTATCCTTTTAGTAAACGTTTAGTATAAATAGCCTATCTTCTTTAAAACCCCTAGCCTTACTTAAAATATAACTTCTCACCTCCCCTTATTAACTTATATTATCCTCTAATTATTTACTAAGGTTATCTTCCCTATATAGGCTTATATAAGCTATCTCACTTAATACTTAGTAAATATTAAATATAAGTTCCTTAGTTTAATTAATAAGTATTACTTAAATATATAGCACTATTATTATTATTAACCTTCTTAAAGTAAAGTAAAAATAAAAAAATTATAAAGGTATTTAGGGGCTATAAACTATAGTTAAGTTAAATTAATAGAAGAAGTACTTAAAAAGTAGGTATAATATTACTATATTACTTTTACTTACTTCTTCTAAGATCTTCTTTTCTAACTCTTTAGTAAGTACTTACTAAGTCCTCGCTATAGAGAGTTCTATACCCTATCTCTATAGAGTTCTCTATCCTTTCAGCTTAGTCTAGCTGAACTATCCCTAAGCCCTTCCAGTCTAAGTGGCTAGACCCTTATAATATACTGATTTTAGCTATATGCTACTACTAAGTATATCGCTATATATAGCTTTAGTAATAGTTTATAATTACCTTGTTAATTATTACTAATTTAAATACTAAATCACCTTATCTAGAGGGATATTTGTAGTTGTGGTGTAAGTAGTAGAAGGAGGGGTGGGTTAGGGCGTGTCGTAAGATCCACGTATGTAGGGTGGGTGGGCTCAGACTTTTGGCCACTGACTGTAGCCTCTGGACCCTTGTTGGTAGTTGTATCCTCGCCATGTTCCATTAGGGTACTCCTCAGTCATATAATCGGTCGTCACGTTGGCCTTGGCTGTCCTGTTTGCAGTGCCCTTGGAAATATCCGAAGCGGGGAACTTGGTAGCGTTTGGGCACACGAGGTGGATGTAACTCGACTCCAGAGAGAAAGTCGCGTTTCCAGTTCCAGCATAATGAACTGGAACACCGGCCAGCGACGAGTATTCCACCTCTTCAGAGTTGCTCGAGATGCTCCTCCACGTACTGTCTGCATCTGCACTTAAGTAAGGGATTCTCACATTCCCCCATAGGTCCATGGCGTCAATTTTGTTCGCCTTCGGTGTTCCTACGAGGATCGTGTACAGTGTTGCCAGACTCGCAAGCTTCGGTCTGTTCAGACTGTCGACGACGCTGCTACCCTGTCCTGACGATACCCCATCTGCGAGGGGCGCTTGTGTGTCGAAATAGGCTATGTCCACGGGACTCGGGTTAGGGACGAGACTCGTATCCATCATGCGCAGAAAGGCTTGTGCGCCTAGGGGTGAACACGCCCAGACAAGGAACAGTCCAATAGCGACGAAATTCAGTGTTCGGAGTTGGAAGAGGGTGATGACAGTTGAGCCAACGGTCCTGCTGCCCATGAGCTGCTCGAGGAACCCCATGGTCCCTCCCTTCTCAAGCTTCCATCGAGCAGCCTCTGACATCAAACGTCCAATGACTGATGCAAAAAGAATAGGGAACGCCGTAGCAAGCTATGTTGGAAGTGATCAGCATGAGCATCCCAGGAGTTGATTCTTCTTTGGCAATCATGACGGCGAATCTACATACCACGGTGATTGCGTTTTCCCAGGCTGAGAGATCATCTTCAACTTGCGAGCCATCGAGGCGCCATACTAGTACAATGAAGACGATGACGGCCAACGGCAAGACAACGACGGCAAGGTCGGCGAAGATGGTGGGCGCCGTCGCATTGTAGATTTTGCGACCTGAGATGTTGCCATGAGCCTGGTCATCCGTGGCAACGGGCTTGTACGATCTTGTCTGATTCTGCCCATGAACAGAGACTAGCGGGTCATTGACTTCAGCAACTTGGGCCTCAGCGCCGCCGGCGCGCTTGATGCGGCTTTCCGATGACGGCCTCTCCGCATCAGTCGGCCCCAGTCGTGTCTCCGATGTGCGCCGGGAGAGATTCGGTGAGACCGGCGAGACGCTGTACTGCTGGTCCCGCATATGAGATTGCGGTGAGGGGTCCCTCGAACTCGGACGAAGGTTGAACGCCATGTCGAATACTTGCAACTCCCAGCACTATGCCCAAGTCGGTGCCGACATTGAGAAACTCCAGCCTCTCGCCTTGGCGAGGAGGCATGAAGGTTTTTAGCTTGTGTTCTGCTGACTTTGTGCTCCATCACACCAGACGATGATCTACATAAGCAGCGGAAGGATCCTTTGAGAAGCAAGCAGGCGTCGAATCAAACTGCGCGCCTGTCGTCGAATGTAACCAGCAAAATGTAGGGGTATGTAAGGCAGCCGCCAAGACTCGCTTCGGTATTTGGCCCCTGTAAATATGCCCGTCTGCCCCTGGTTGAACCATTCACAGCGCATAGTTCCACAGCCCTAGCACACATGAGTGTGGATGAGTGCCTCTGAACGAAAGTTGCGGTGGGAGATTGTGCCAGAACGACAAGAGGATCATTGCGACTGAAACACAATGATCAGGCTATGTTAGGCTGCACTTTTCCTATTGCCAGGTTGCTATTCCTGAAGATTCCCGTAGGACAAACAGGCTTCAAACCGTGATCCAATCAGCTTTCGAGCATTTTTCTTGCCCCAGCTGCACCCGGCGTAGGACTCAGCCCATGGACACATCAGAGGCCTTCACGCTGAGGTGTTTCATTGACAAGAGTGGCTACAGTGATGTATCCACTGTATTCACGTTATGATCATGCTTAAAAGCTACCTAGTAGTTGGCATATCGCTGAAAACCTTAGAGACGCCCGTTCCATAGGTGGACGCCTTCGAGTAAAGTACATTGGAAATCGACGATACTGAGATGAGCAAAGCTCAGCCTGACACTCAATAAAGCTAAACCAATGAGATTTTCTGTAGGGTTGAGACTTCTTACTACTTAGGTAGTCGCGTCATCATCCAAAGCACTCTGTCATTTCTAAAGCACGCCTGTGCTAATTAACCAGGGAAGCCCAATAAAGACCCAGACCATCATCAAAATGGCCAGTGGTGTCGCTGCAACTGAGTTGAAACTTTCGAGAAGCTCAAGAACATAGACCACGAGAGGTGTGATCATCCATAAAAACGACTTGATCGGCTTGTAAATAAAAGTCATAAAGACATTTCTTAGCCATCGGACCCAGAATTGCTCGTCTACAGCAGGCTGTTCCTCGTCTGGTTGTTCTGCAGGCCCTGCCGCAAGCCGGGTTTCGCTGGTGAACGAACTCTCTTTCACGGTTATATCGTTAGCTTGGTGTCTGATGTACATAACGAGACAGAAGGGGTTCATATACCGGGCAATCGTGCATCTCGCTGCCACCGTGGACCGGCTGGTAGGGTGAAGATCCCTCGCTCTCGCCTAGAGCCCTGCACGTCGTGAGTCCGGCCCTTTGATCGAAACATACCCAGTTCTAGATGAGTATGAGCGATGGATTGCTTTCAACACTCGGGGCTCCAAGCCTTAGCAACGCTTGATATTGATGCTTGTGAGCGGCTGATGTTTGAAAAGCCGCTCGCAGCCTGATGTTGTTTTTGAATGCCTTGCCAAGGCCCAGACGGCACTGCGGCTCGGCTGTCTAGTGTGACATGCAGCCAAGCGAGACAATGCTGACAGGCCCAATTATCGGGTCTTCTGAGCAGGCTTAATAATTTCAGAAGAGCGGCCGTTCAAGATCCGATCTCATAAGCCATTCTTTGGGATTGGACCCTCGAGAAAATCGTACGTCGTAGCCTATCGCAGTCGAGAATCTACAAGTCCCCAACGCTGTGGAAGATTCCATGGTTTATTAAGCTAAGTTCTAGTGATGGATGTGAGCGTCAGTCGAGTGTGCTATGAATCACACCTATCGTAGAATCAGTAATTCAATAACATGGAGGACTGGTGTCATCTTATTTACATTTGAATATCATCAAAAGGTTCTTGTTATTTCATGAGTCCCTCCAACACCAACATCCAACTAGACTTAGCCGTACTTACAAACCCATGCACTTGAACTTCAACAGATTATTCTCCACAATCTCTTTCTCCATAGTGATCAGCTTTGGCATATCCCACATGCAGCTAAGCCATCTTCCACCAAGCCACTCCCTCTTCTTACTGGTAAGATAGGGGATGGAATGGGCGGCTAGCTCCGGGGTATCGGTCATCCTGACTACTCGAACGTCAGTATTATGCGTTGAGAAACAGACAATGGAGCTTCTTACATTGCAGCTTCTCGGGTAGGTTTGACGATAGGTCAGTCGGAATACCACCCGGGTGGATGGAGAATGCGAGAACCCCCTGCCGGTTGCATCGTCAGTTTTGACCGAATAATGCCGACACGGGCTACATGAGACGTACCTGACCGCCATACTCATCCTGAACAAACTCAGTAAAGCGGATGAGGGCGAACTTTGACACATGGTATGCACCACCGCCGGCCCCCATGAAGTGCGCTGCAACTGAAGACATGTTGACAATCGTCTTATCACCGCCCTTTAGCATCAAAGGCAAGAATGCTTTGGTGACTCTGTATGTGCCCCAGTAGTTCACATCCCAGGCCTTCATGTACTCGTCGTCATCCGTGTCCAGCAGCAAGTTGAATGGGGCCATGTAACCGGCGTTGTTGACCAAGATGTCTAGTCGCCTCCATTCAGTCGTTAGCCTCTCCGCTGCCGCTCTTACGCTGACCATGTCGCTGACGTCCATCTCGAGGGCAAACACGGTGGGCTCATCTCGCCCAGCGTTCTTTGCCGCTTCACGGACGGCAGCGACGGTAGAAGACACGTCTGATCGAGCAGCTACCGCAATATGAGATGCGCCGGCTTCGGCATAGCCAATCGCAATGGCTCGGCCCAGTCCCTTGCTGGCACCTGTGATCAGAACCGCTTTGCCGGTACAGTCTGATGAAGTGAGTGGGTTGATTGCTGGGTATGTGTCGTGATGGATCACATCTCCGGTGAATTTGTCAACTGCAGGCTGTTAGAACGAATGAGCCGAATGAAGACGAGATCCAGAAGCATACCCTTGCGAGGAGGGAGACCGGTGGGCCCCGCGGGAGTGTGTCCCGCCATGAGTGGAGACAGATTCAGTTGAACGAGCGTTCGTTTGATTTCTGTTTCGACGTCCTCTTTCAGGAAGAAGTTGTAGATTTGGTTCAACATCTTGGCCGGTTGCGAACCTTCGACGGGCGCTAGTATCGGAATGCCGGACTTCCCCACGCTTCAGGGGCGGGAAGCGCTCGAGCTTAGCGGACGCTTTGTACCACGCCTCAAACCAATCCGTAAGGTGGCAGGCCCTTTCTTTGAAAAACGCATCTGAAATTGGTTTTATGATATTTTAAATGCGAGACCACGCAAGGTTTTCAAGGGCGCGCTGTTGGGCTTGCTTACCACCCCAGAATGGACGTAAGCGAGCGCATCCAGCCGCTCAGCAATTGCCAGCGAATACACTGTGGACCTGACCGCTGACTCTACTTGGTCAGCGGGGCGCATGTCGCGTGTACAGAGGATGCTCATAAAACCATGGTCGATTGCAGCAGTCCCAGTATCAACCGGTGAGAAGCGGTGAGTGCCGGGCAAGCCAGGTTGCTGCCGATCAGAGTGCATGGACTGTTACCGTGAATCCGGGGCCGGTCCGAGAAGAGCCCCACTGAATCCGGGGTTTCCTCCGAACATGCATACCGAGTGCCCATCGGCGGCTCTCAGGGTTGTATTTTGACCTCCGGCAGCTTATCAAGATTCGGCTGATCAAAGCTCTAGCTAGATGAGGCAGCTGCATTCAGATGCAAGTGAGACAGATACCCCACTAATCGCACGAATCCCCTTGCTGAATCACACGAGATTGCTGACCGGGGTTGTAATCCTCCGGACCTATTTGAGGCTGGTGTCAGCAAAGAACAATGCGTCCATAGATATCACGGCTACACCTACGCCGAGTCATTCTCTGACATTGGAGTGCGTTGGTGGTTCGTGAGACCAAATCTCACATCAGTTGTACTTCAACAACATGGCATCATCTTGGTTTGCCAAGGCCGTCTCACGCCTTTTATGTTCGGTTTATGCGGCTTCATTCTGCCGCGAGCCTTCGACTGCCAATTTCCCGCCCCTTCTAGACGCAAGTCTAGATGATCTACGCCAAGGGCTCGACAGCGGCCTCTTCACTAGCGTCGACTTGGTGAATGCCTACGTGGCTCGCATTAACGAGGTGAACGATGACCTCCACGCCGTCGCCGAGATCAACCCTGACGCAGTCTCCATCGCTGCTTCCTTAGACCAATCTCGGGCGCAAGGCGAACCTCTTCTTGGGCCTCTGCATGGCATCCCAGTGCTTATGAAGGACAATATTGCGACCAACGACAAGATGAATAACACCGCTGGCTCTTTCGCGCTCGTCGGCGCAAGAGTCGGCGAAGACAGCACCGTAGCGGACAAGCTCCGCGAAGCCGGTGCGGTTATTCTTGGCAAGACCACCATGGGTCAATGGGCGACTTGTCGGGGTACTAATTCCAGCGCTGGATGGTCTGCTCGAGGGGGCCAGCCGATCGGGGCGTACTATCCAAACCAAGACCCGTTGGAGTCCTCCTCAGGAAGTGGTATCGCATCTTCAATCGGTCTTGCGTGGGCTTCACTTGGCACGGAGACATTGGGGTCGATTACCATGCCATGCGATGTCTCCAATCTCGTCGGGATCAAACCTACTCTCGGCCTCGTCTCACGGCACCTCGTTATACCCATTACCGAGCACCAAGATGTAGTTGGTCCGATGGCTCGTACGGTGAAAGATGCTGCGTATTTACTAGCAGCCATTACAGGACCGGATCCTCGAGATAACTACACTTCGGCTATTCCGTTCACCAAGTCGCCCGACTATGCTGCAGCTTGTGTTGACTCGGGTCTCCAGGGGAAACGAATTGGTATCCCGAGGCACCTCTTCAAAGACACCCCTTGGCCAAATACCAACTACTCCATCTCAGTTTTCGACTCTGCCGTGGACGTTCTGAGATCTGGCGGAGCTGAAATCATCGATGACATATGGCTTCCTGTGGGTGACCATGTTACACGTCTACTCAACCTGTCTAGCCAGGTTATGGGCGCAGACTTCCTCGTCAACCTCGAAGAATACTTTGCGAGGCTCACCTACAACCCTTACAACATCACCACGGTCGCAGAACTTCGAAATTGGACGCAAGGCGACCCACGCGAAGGCTATCCAGAACATAATACTGAAGTCTGGGATAGAGAGCTCATCAGAGGCGTTCGCAACACCGATCCCCTCTTCTGGGAGCTTTACACAGAGAGACAGTACCTTGCTGGTCCACTGGGGTACGCCGGTGCTTTGAAAAATCATTCGCTCGATGCGCTGGTACTTCCAACGAGATATGTCCTGGCTCCCGCCGCGCTTCTAGGTACACCGGTCATAACTGTTCCTTTCGGACGGCATCCGGATGGCACACCAATTGTGAAGGATGACTTCGGCAATCTTGATGTTTTAGCACCAAACTTGCCTTTTGGTATTGGTTTTGCTGGAGCAGCGTTCAGTGAGGAGAGATTGATAAGCATGGCATATGCTTTCGAGCAGAGGACTAAAGCTCGAACTGCAATCAAGCCATACATCCAGCCAAAGACTGAGTTAGGGGATATTGTACAGTCAAGGGAATGGAGAACGAATCGGCTGGATTTGGTGTAGAGGAAGGATCTACTATTTGGATGATCACCCAGGCGATCGGTAGGTCTTCACAAGAATTTGATATCAGAGGACGTGCAAAACTCCGGTATTGAACTAAGGTAAGGAAAGGTGACCAGTTATCAAATCTGCATATATGAATTTATATCTACACTCAAACGAGACAACAAGGTTATGGGGTGTCCACTAGTAACTTCAAACCCATCTAGTAAGACTACCTTAAAACGACTGTACAACGATCTATAGAGCAGAACGGATATATTGCACCACTTTGATATGACTCAGTGCCACCGAGCTCATGCCAGACGCCTTCAAAAGCGGTGGGTTATCATCAAGATATTTCAACCCTGAGACGACACTTTCTTTCAAACACTTCTTGGCCTCTCGGAGTGCAAAGTCAAATGCCGTACGCCCCTTTTCGTCCGTTGCTCTGAAGTCTGCTCCATGCTTCTTGGGAATCTGGAGTACTGCTAGGGGCTCGAACCTTGAGACAGACCCGTCAACCCAAGTTCGTACGACACCGCACACCGGTGGGAGTAGTAGTTCATCCGAATCATGTGATTTAGATCCCCGGAAAACACCAAAAAGCGAAGTGCTCGACCGTTTGCTGTTTGGAAGTTGCATGGGCTGGTCAGCTGCCCCAGGACCCCCCTTTTCAAGAAGGGCTTCGCATACTGGCAATCTGTTGTACCTCCACATGCCTTGCGCCGCCCTCAACAGTTGCAGAGCCTGTTCTTGTGAAGCCTTATTTATGAGAGTGGCCAGAGATGTGTTGATCTTGGAGACAACCTCCCGACCTTGAGGATTGCACGGCGGGAACGCAAGCAATCCGTCGCACGACAGCTGATTCCGATCAGTGACATCAAGGAATAGGAGAAACTCAACGACCGCCTTCTGACCAAAGGTTGCGGCCATCCGCAACGGTGTTCGTACAATACGCCTGGCCTGATCAGATTGATCTGCATTCTTCTGCGGCACGAAGAACTGCTCGGGCGTGTTAATCAAGGCGCCAGCATTCCGTCATTGGGACTTCCGAGGGTGAGCAGGAATTCAATCTCTTTCACGCAGCCGCATGTCTCGTCTCTCCCTGGCCATTGACTGAGTATTGGATCTGCTATGGACAACAATGAATAGCAAGGCAAGTAAGAGCCACTCGATACTTTGAACTCGGTCCAGGTATCGACAGGGTTTTGATGGAAGGTGCAGAGCATATTAGGGGTTTGAGGAGTCAGGGGCAGAGCTTTCATGTCGACCATCTCAATGATGTTCCGCCGAATACAGTCAAAGCAGATTTGACGAGCCTTTTTGGGCTGATTTGGATACCATTTGGCAGAGAGCGCATCGACGTAGTAGTAGTTTCGTAGAAAGTCGGTGCCAAGGACAGCCGCTGCTCCCACGTCATTGGCGGCCATTTCAAGCATATTTCGGTACAATGCGTGAAGTTTCTGAGCGGGGTTGGAGGAGCTCGCCGAGATTTCGCCAATGGACGCTGAAGCCCTGACAGTTCTCTCTGGCCCCTCCGACAACATATTCTTCCAGATATCTTCATCCGGGTCCATTGTCTTGCGACAGACATCAGCCATGAGCGACAAACATGCGAGGGTTCTCTCGTCATCACGGCCGCGAACCTCCATGTTGAGCTCGATGGCTTGCATGCAGTGAGATTTGGCATGATCTAGATCCGACTTGAGAGCGTACGTCTCAGCAAGTAGGCGGTGGACGTCGCTCGTTTGTGCTGGATCGAGCTCTTCCCTCTCTAAAAGGGGATTTAAGATGAGTAGGGCTTCTTCCGCCTGGCTAAGCTGAACCAAAGCAGTGGATAAGATGAGTCGGATGTTAATGTTGACATCGTCATACGCAAAACCCTCAGCTTGTGTCGTCCCGTAAGATTGAAGTAGGCGAACCACCCCGCCAAAGTTTGGTTCTGCGAGGAGAATTTCGGCCTGAACAAGACGTTGAGCATCCAGATGTAGAACAAGACTGGGATATCTCTTGCGTAGAATCTCGGCGTCTTTGCTGTTGGGATCCGTTTCACCGAGAGCTTCAGCAAGCGTGCGGATCAGACCAGGATCTTTTTCAGACCCAGGCTGGCCTTCAAGCACTCTAACAAGATGCGGAATAGCCTTGGAGAATTGTTCGCTCGCAATCATCTGTTCGGCGTGCTTGATCCGTCGCTGGTTAAGTTCGTCGGCAAGGCTTTGACTGCTGAAGCCCGTTGCTCTCGATCTTAACGAAGTGGCCTCTGAGGTTGGCGCAGTCGATATGCTTCCGGCTCGGGTTGATGCGGTATCGGACAGAGATCTGGCATCGTCGCCGTTGACGTCGATTGCCCAGTCTGAAATTTGCCTGTGCCTACCTCCTTGTATGTATGGGCCGAAAGCCAGGCCGGCACTGAGCATTTCGCCAAAGTCTACCTCTATGGGAGCAACAGAGTAAGGACCCTATCTCGTGCGGACTGTCGTGTTCCGGGAAAGAGGGCTCATCGGGCCGGACAACATGGATTTGGCATCCAGGGTTGTGGCTGCATGCTTGATGCTGCCGCACAGTCCCTGGGTTGCCATTATCATCGAGCGGGTTTCTTCGAGCATCTCAAATGTCAATTTGCAGGTCTGTAAAACTTGTCCTTCTCGAAGCTGTCTCTTGCGCATTTGTATCATGGGGCTCCTCTAGCTGAAGTCTCACCAGAGTGCTGCTGACGCGGGACAGACGTTCAGTAGCATTTGCTGAAGATGTCAGAAGAGCCAAAGAAGCTTGGCGGGCGCTGAAAGAAGTTTGTGACCCTTTCTTCGGCTCCGCCAGAGGCTCTGAGCTGCTTTGATAAGTGACATTACTGTATTCGGTCTTTTTGGATCTGGCCTGCTTGATGTATAACTCTTGGGCCATTAACTCCGGTTGATGTTCTGTTGTCGACGTCTCTAAGTCCTGCATTCGTTTGGCGAGATCTTCAACCAGCATGGGAATCTTTGCCGTCGTAAGCGGATTATTGCACGCAGCTGCGTTGTACCTACTACGAGCCCTCTTGTTAGGGATGAAGGCCGTCCAGTCTGAAACCTGGAATAGACAGATGACTCACCCTGAATGTACTATGACTGGAAGTTGAAGTGCACCTGTGCAAGTTGCGATCTGCCCCCTGAGCGCATGGATTTGATCATCATAACGCTGAAAACGTGCATACGTCCTCACGGAGGTCGCCCATGATCTATCGCGGTGTATCTTGACAAAAATGTTCGAAAGCCGCGTGTACGCTCGATCGCATGATTTGATGACCGGGATGAGCTCTGCGTACCGACATACATGCTCGCCGAAAGTGCCGCTGGAGATGCAATTTTCCAGTAGTTTGAGATGAATCCTCGTAGCCTCGAGTTGAGACTCGAAGTCCTCGATCCTGTCGTCGTCGATGCGTCGGATGTCATGATGCGCGCTGCTGGCAACTTGGACTGTCTTTGAGAGAGCGACCACGAGCTGGAGCACGGCTGTGGCGCCGCCGATTACTTCCACCGTCGCGTATGAGGTTCATGAGGTTGCGAGGGAGAAGCCATGGCCGTCAACACCGATAGACTGCCCATTCGAAATATCAGCGAGAGCTGACGTGGAAGGAAGCGGGGTTCGAGGGGCTTGATCAGGCGGCAAAAGGGGTTGACAGCTATCTGTTGGGAGGATTCTGCTTGCATTCCAGATCAGGCTCTGTCCCGCGTTGGAGCGAACTATTGATTTTCTCTACTGCGCCGCCACACTATGCGTGCGTCAGACACGGTAGGATCTTGCGCCATTCCTCTTTCTGATCAACTGGTGACGTTCGTGGTTAAATTTAGATGGCGGCGTTCGCGAGCATTCCCAGAAGGCAGAAACTTGCGTATTTTGATGTTCTTGTGCAGAGGCCGATAAGCATAAACAAACTTTGTTGTTGGATGAATGAGTCTTCAGTCATAATAGAAGTCAGGACTTGTCTGGCTTTCACCAAAACAAAGAAAATCGAGTTTCCGCGGGTTGAACCTCGCTCTCCGCGGACGCGTGAAGTTCATATGGATAGTGGGCTAGGGCCTCTTGAATAATGTCAGCGGCGTTAAGTGTGAGGGCCCGTTTTATCCGGAGCTTTCCACTCGTACGGGGGAGTCCCCCATAATAAGATCATGCTTTCTAATAATAAGAGGCTTTGGGGGCCAGATGGCAGGCCAAGCCCTACTGCGTACATGTACTAACAGTGACCGATTGTACACTCGACAGGATCCACAATTTTGAGGCTTGCAGCACTCGTGAGCTGAGTGCTGTGCCAAAATGCCGCTGACTCGCAGCCTGGTACGACTTGTGATGTAGCCAAGAGTCGAGTGTTGGCTCGCTGACCTGACTCTTGAGTCTCGTACGGGAAAGGTTGTTCTTCTTTCTGCAAGAGCTATATGTCTCCTTGATGAGAATAATGCCTTTCCCAAGGTATTGTGCGTTCTTCAAATGCTTTGAGACAGTACGGCAGCATTCGCTTATTGCCGACGGAGTTGGAGTCCGCGTCGAGTTGAGGAGCGGATCCCCGGTCGTCCCGTGTTGAATAGTCTTCGAAAGTTTGAATAGTGGGCTCGGGGAGACAGAATGAACCACTCTAATATAATAAGTTTTTAGACCACCAGTTCTGGGTTGATCCGAAGAGTACGGCAACGTCGGAGTCAAAGCTGGCCTAGGCGGCCGCGGCTTGACAACCCACTTCCCCTGATAATAGGACTTGGCAGTTGCTTGAGAGTTACGGAGCGCTCCAGTTGCATCAATCCTAGCCAACCACATAATGTATCTATAAATAAGGTATGTCCCTGTATCAAAGCTCCTTTGTAACATTTCATTGTTACGCTTCTTCAAATCCAACACACACTCATTCAGCCACCTTTCAACGCTGCAAAAATGCCTTCTACTCTGAAGATCGCCCTTCTGGCCTTCGCCGCCTTTGTCGCCGCGGTACCATCCTCCCCTAAAAATGATGATGGTACTCTTTTCGCAGTAGAGAGTCAGTCGAAACCCTACATGTTCCGCACTACCTCGTTGACCCGATGACATACAGAGCGATGCGAGGCACTCTATGCCAAGTGCAATGAGAACAGCGACTGCTGTGGCCCCACACCGGTCTCTTGCAACTACATCCCCATCTGCGGCAACAACCGCTGTGTGTCTTATGACCCTAACACCCCGTACAACCCTACGTGCTTCTAAACAGCTGCTACGTGTGAGCTTGACAATGGGACAGTGGGGTGGGTGGCAAGGTCAGGTTGTTCTTAGCAAGCACTCAAATAGCACAATAATGCGTTGAACAAGCCAAAGCAACGCTTTCGAATCTTCATATTGACCCCCCAACAACACGAGACTCGAAGATTCGCACACTGCAAAGTTTGGCGCGAAACAAAAGCTAAATGCGTTGATCTTTGGTTCCCTTATCCTGAGTGGTGATGGTTTCCTTTCCTCATGAGATACAGAGCATATATCCCAACCCTGCCGATGGGAAATTTGGATGGTGTTAATGGCCGAGGATAGTTCTGCTCCATGACCGTCATCATTTGTACCCGTGAAAGAAAAGAGACCAATGCAAGTAGGAGTGATATTTGACACATTACTGGCAGTACTTTATTCCACCAGTAATTGCGGATATATTGAAAAATCGGTGGGCGGCCTCGAGGTCAATCTAACGTCAGTTTGGAGATGCCCGCATGAGCTAGCATCTTGCCACAAGCCAGCGAAACCGGATCATATCGCACCCATGGATCCATAAGAATTGAGTCTTTCCTTCAGTATTTTGAACGCCAGCCCTCCTACCTTTCAGGCCGATCACTGCACATGGTAACACCCTCTGACTTCGTCATGCACGCCGGACAATATTGTAACAACGTCAAGCAATAAATATCGTCTTTCTCACTCCAGCGAAGACGGGTCAAAGTCCTCTTTCATGTCAGGCACCCAGCCCTTTGGCCTCTCCGTACCCCGAATCGCCAGACCGTAGCCCAGCTTCTCCACCTTGCGCACCGACTGCCTCATAACCTCCATCTTTCCTCTGAAGTCCTTAGTCGGAATCTCGGGCAGGATCTCGAAGCAGCTGCTCAGCTCGTGGATATCCTGCAGGATGTTGCGGCCCTCAACGCCGGCGAGCTGTCCCGTTTGGGCTGTCGTGACGGTGGCGAAGCGCATCATCTCGCCGAACAGGTCGAAGAGGCCGTACATGTAGTCGTTCTCGGTCAGAGGCACGTTTGCCGGGACCGCGGCTGCCGTGTCTTCTGGGCTGATCAGGGTCTGGGTGCGCAGGTAGTGAGTGAAGGAAAGGGCCTCGACAAGCTCCTCGAGGCAGCGAAGGGAGTAGGCGTAGCGATAGCGGTTGATGCCCTGGATGTCGCCCTCGATTAAGGTGAGGTGGTTCTTGATCTCTTCCATGCGGGTGTTGAGTTCCTTCTGAGCGAAGTTTGGGAGTTCACCAAGCTTGTTGACTCTGTATCTTGTCAGTGGTGCACTGTTGGGGTTGGACGTGCAGGAGCTGGGGGTACCTTTGGCAGGTGAAAATTCTGTTCAATCGTTAGCCAATACATCCCGATTCTGCTCAAACAAGGAGACAAATTACATTTTTTTGCTCAGAGCAGTAACGTCTCTCGAGGCCTTGATGATGCGCTCTCTCCGGTCATGGTGCTCGTCCAGCTCGTCGCGGAATTTGGTGAACATGGGTGTGAACTGCGTCACGGGTGCCGCGGGTTTCTGCTTGGCCTCGTTGGACCGCATGTTTCCGTCACGATCGCGCTTAGACATCGTGAGTTTTGTTGCAGCGGTTGATGAGTGCCAGTTGATAAAGTGCCCCGCGATGAAGCCGGTGATGCAGTTTGATGGTTGATGCACAGGGTCAGAATTGATGATGGGATTGATTGGAGCAGAGCCCCCGGGTGTGGGTCCACACACGGTGTAGCGGCGGGTGCGGGTCTCTGCGCCAGCCAGGGGCTTGCCAGTTGTGCCCACGTCACTCAAATTTCCCCAGTTGGGAAGGGGAAGCTAGGACTTGAAGCTTCAATAACCACGAGACATCAGCAAATCGGAGCCCGGTTGTTGCGATCGAATATTGCACGGTGTTCATGGCAGTTTAAAGTGTCGCATCTTCTCGGAAATACGGGGAGAATTGAAACACCGCCCAACGATGGCCGGCCTCAATGCGCTCTTCCGGCCCGTGCCGCTCTTCGGCGCCGCCGCGCTTCTCCGCGTCGGCATGCTCTTCTATGGTCTCTGGCAAGACGCCAACTCGGCAGTCAAGTACACCGATATCGATTATCTGGTTTTCACCGATGCCGCCCGCTTCACAGCGCAGGGGCGCTCACCTTACGACCGCGAGACCTACCGCTACACGCCTCTTTTAGCATGGATGCTCGTTCCGACCGCCTGGGAGGGATGGTTCTCATTCGGGAAAGCGGTTTTCGCTGTAGCGGACCTTTTGGCGGGATGGCTGATTGTGCGCATTCTGAAGAGTCGCGGCGTCGATGAGGGAAGGGCTTTGAAGTTTGCCAGCATCTGGCTTCTCAACCCCATGGTTGCGACAATCAGCACGAGAGGAAGCTCCGAGGGTCTACTTGGTGTGCTGGTGATGGCACTCTTATGGGCCGTTTTGGAGAAACGGACCGCATTGGCTGGTCTGCTGCTCGGCTTTGGAGTGCATTTCAAGATCTACCCATTCATCTACGCACCGGCAATCGTCTGGTGGATGGATGATGAGACCCTGGGACGAAAGGGGGCTGAGGGTGCGAAGTCTCTTCCTGATGTCCTTGTCAACTTCTTGAATCCGGGGAGGGTAAAGCTGGCTGCCGTCAGTCTTGCAACATTCATGGGTCTGAACATTGCCATGTTCGAAATGTGAGTCTTAAATGAACCTCTCTTTGGTTGCCATGCTAAGATCCTCCAGCTACGGCACCCCGTTCTTGGTGCATACCTACTTTCATCACGTCACTAGGATAGACCACAGGCATAACTTCAGCCCGTATAACATCCTTCTCTACCTCAACTCGGCACTGCCATCCACAGCGACCATCAAGGTTGAGTCTGTGGCATTCTTCCCTCAGATTCTGCTCTCGACCATACTCATCCCTCTCGTTCTGGCGAAGAAGGATCTCGCAACTTCAATGATGGCGCAGACTTTTGCATTTGTTACCTTCAACAAAGTCTGTACCAGCCAGTACTTCCTCTGGTACATGGTCTTCCTCCCGCTCTACCTTCCCAATTCTGCATTTCTGAAGAGCCCGAAGCTGGGAGTGACGGCGCTGGGTCTTTGGGTTGTTTCTCAGGCTGCATGGCTGCAGCAGGGATTCCAACTCGAGTTTTTGGGATACAGTACGTTCTTCCCGGGCCTTTTTGCTTCCTCGGTGGGATTCTTCTTGGTCAACTGCTGGATCCTAGGTGTCATCATTGGTGACGGAGCCGACACGGCGAACACTGTCAAGACCATTAAGGCCAAGAGTTGATGTAAAATTACACAGGCAACAGTGGCCTCTTCATTCTGAATAAATCTAGATTTCTCAAGTGTGGCTCTCACAGTTGGCTTGAGTGAAACGGTCGATTCGGCCACAAGGGCTCGTAGGCAACCAAGTACGACCCTTCAAGCAACTCAACTTGAGAAAGTGCAATCGCCAACTACCTTATGGCAAGGAAAATACCTTGATTGAAGCTTTCAGGTGCAAACGAGCCAGGTTCAAAGGTGCTGTTGCCTGGAAAGTGGCCACGTGATTAGGCGTCACCTTCCCGCAGGAGCACGTCCAAACGCGATCCAACCAGTCGCGCAACTTCTCCCCACCATTTCGCACCTTGCAGGCCAAGCACCCAACGACTTTTCCCAGCGCCACAACGTCCTCCCATTGCGCAACGATCTGCAAACATTTTATCCTGTGGATCAGATACTTACTTCCGCAATGTGGCTGCTGGAGAACGAGGGAAACGCGCTCGAGGGTTTGTATTGAGCTTCCTGCTGACAGCTGCCTGCGACACGAGCTAACGCGATTAATCACAGGCCGGCGCATCTGGCTGCGCCCCGGAAAACTGTATCTCTTTGGCCGAACATCCGCGAATGTCGAGCGTATGCGATTCCGCTAACTCCCGAATGACTCACGTTGCTGACAACTGCAGCCGGAACCCTCACGATCGCCCACAAGACCATCTCGCGCAAGCACATGACGATACAAGTCGACAAGGTTCCCGAAGGCGACAGCGTACGTTGCAGTCGAGTATACATAAGGCAACTCTGCTGACTGCATTCGCAGCAAGATTTGTCTAGTCGGTCGACGATAACGATCGAAGACCTGAACACGAAGGCGGGCACAACGGTCGATGGACACAAGTATAAGGGCGAGAAACATGTGGTGACCGAAGCGACGGCAGAGATAAAGATTGGCGGTTGCACAGAAGTCTTCCGGTACGGCAGCACTCTGTAGCGAAAGATTGAACTGCTGCTGACCATTTTCAAGGCTGACGTGGCACCCGGTGGTGCTGACCTTCAGTTTCTCTAGTCGCGAAATGCAAGCCGACCCCTTCTCCCGACTGCGAGCCGACGTCGAGCAGCTGGACATCAAGCTTACATCCGAATACGATGTCGAGCAAACGACACACGTGGTGGTGAAAAAGCGTAATACGTCAAAGGGCCTTCAAGCTCTTGTTAACGGGAAATACATTGTGACTGACTCATTTGTGGATGCGATTGTTGCGGCAGCGAGTTCGGAGCCAACAGCTATATGTGCGCTGGAGGATAACTTCGACAGCTCCTGGCCCGATGCCTTAACTCACTTACCTCCACGTGGTGGCGAACCTGTTGAGCGTCCCAACGCTGCCTATTCCCCCGATGAGGGCCGCCGCGACATCTTTGAGGGCTACACATTCATTTTCTACGAAAAGGGCCAGTTTGAGACTCTTCGCGCCCCCATCATCAACGGCAAGGGCAAGGCGCTTTACACAAAGGTAACCCCCAACTCGACTACTGTCGACGAGTTCATTCTGTACGTCAAAACAGAAGCAGGCGAGAAGGGGCTTGGATGCTTTGAAGACGGTAGCGAGGGACGAGGTGTTGTTGTCGTCCGCTATACGCCCAGCAAAGGTGATGCTCTGGCCTGGTATGCGGACTTCTTCACTCAAGTCTCGCTCCGATTGGACCATAGGCCCATTGAGCAGAACGAGTTCCTTGAGGCAATTCTCGTCAAAGACGCCAGTATTCTGCGTCGGCCTCTGGAGATTGACCCTACTCAGGAGCCTCCACGCACAGCGCCGCAGCAGGCTTCGAGCAGTGATTCGATGGATGTTGACCAGCCCGCCCCTTCACAACACACAGCCCAAGAATCCGCACCGTCTGCTCCACCAGTGAGACCAGCTCGTGTGCGAAGGGCAGCCACCAGACGTTTTGCTGGATTCGATAATGACGACGATGATGATGATCCTGTGGTCCCCAAAGAACCAGAGGGCGTGCCTGTCAACGCTGAACCGGAGACCGAGGAGGGGTTATTCGTGTCGCAAGAGGCGGCCGCACTTGATGAAATCCCAGAACCGTCACAAGAGACGAGAACCAGGAGGTCGCAGAGGAAGCGGCCTCCAGTAGAGGATGACAGCATCATGGATGATATTATCCCAAATGCAGCCGCAGCCAAGCGGCGACGGATTGAGGCTGGAGAAGATCCAGACCCGCGACCTAAGGAGCCCGAACCTCCAAAGGCTCCTGAGCCGAAGCCTGCTACAAAGCCCAAGAAGGTGAAGCAAGAGATTGACGTCCTCGAAGTCGCTCGCAAACGACGTGAAGAACTGGAGGCTGCGGCCAAGGCCGAAAAGGATGACCTTCGCAATTTGCCAGCCGACCTTGACTTGGCAGAGATTGGTCGGAACCAAACCACGGTGGCCATGCCTGTCCGTCAACGGCCGGCTACCAGGACTCACGAGGAAGACGTAGCAAGTGGCAGATGGAACCCTGCCTGGAATGGACGCAAAAACTTCAAAGGCTTCGCACCCCGTGGCGAGCTCACGGGACGACCGCGCCAGAAAGTCATCGTGCCTCTGAAGGAGGTCAAGAAGAAGGATTATGGCATTGGCGATGAGTACTGGCTTGAGGACGACAGTCAGAAGAAGAAGAAAGACGACACCCAGAAAAGCGGCAGGAATACTAGTCAGAAGAGTGGCACCAGTACTGGTCAGTCTGCCACTTCGCGACGTGTGTCACTTCAAGATCGGGGCACAATTAGCGTTGTCAGCAGCGACGAAGAAGATGAGACGCCTGCACCCGAGCCTGAGCCAGAACCCGCCCCATCACGATCGAGAAGCTCCCGCGCCACGACGACACAGTCTCAAGCTACTAGCCAAAGTCAGAGGACGACGCGCGGCAAGAGAGCAGCGCCGCCTCAGGCTCCGGCCGATGAACCACCTGCCAAGAAGACTCGAGCGGCGAGGAAACCTCGAGAGGTGGCTGATAGCGATGAGAGTGACGATGACGACGGGCTGAAGTTTAAGTTTAGGAGACGCTGAGATAGCCCCAAAGCTGATCCGGAAGGCCTGCTGTTCAAGTGGAGCGACGAGTCCAAGGAAGCTATAATGCGAAGTCGTTCAAGAAGGCGCGCAAGGAGCCGTGCCAGTGAGGCCGGCGAGGGCGGCAAAGCCAGCGGGAACGATGCGGACGGCGACGCTGAGATGGTTGACTACGACGACAGCGAGAAGGACGCGGACGACGGTGCTGGGGAGGCCAACTAGCGATGTTTGTATGATTGCGGTCGCTGTGAGCGGTGCGTCTATTATGGGGGTATCACTCTATCAGTATCTGTATGCAGGGTCGACCTGTTAATACACAGCGTAGTAACCGTATGTGCCTGTCTCTCTCTTCTAAAATGTGCAAAAGAAGGGGTTTAATCCATCTCATCCATGGCGCTCGGCTTCGCGCCTTCTTCCTCGTCCACCAGCAGCCCGACCAAACACGCTGAAAGCATAGTCTCGTAGTTGACCCAGGGGTGGATCTCCCCAAACAGCTTCGTGCCGTCTCGTCCGGCGCCGCGGAGCAGCTCGGGCTCGCCGGCGGGGTGGTAGGGCAGGTAGGGGGTGATGTTGTAGACGCGGCCGCCGAGGGCCATCCAGGCGTCCTTGCCCTTGCGGCCGGTCATCTTCTTGAGCATGGAGGGGGTGACTTTGAGGTAGGGCGTGGAGGGGGGCAGGTTGCGCAGGTCGGCGTTGGGGCCGGAGATGCGCGCCCAGTCGAGCGGGGAGTGGCCGGGCGTGAGGATCACTTTGCGGCTTGGTTTGGAGGGTTTGGCGGAGTGTGTTGGCGGTGGTAAGAGCGAGGAGGAGGAGGAGGAGGGGGCAGGGCCGCGGTTGGGGACGGGGCCGCGGGCGCGTTGGGGGGAGTTTGCGGCTGGGAAGGCGGCCAGGCGGGGCGGGACGGGACCTCGTGAGGAGGATGATGGTGGTGGTGGGGGCATGCTGCCGCGGCCTGGGAGGTTGTTTGTCGGAGGAGGCTTGCTGCCACGCCCGGGTGCCGGAGGTGGCGGCATGCTTCCGAGGCCTAGGCTCGGGGCCGGGTTCGCGCCTGTGGTGAGGCCGGTGGAGGGCTCGTTGAGGGAAAAGGAGGGGACGGCTGGTCCGGCCGGGGTGGAGGGGTTGGCTTTGGGTGTTGTTTGCTCCTCCTCTGGCTCTGATATCACCGGCGTCGAGGCTGGGTTCGCGTTCGGACGGCGGATGATCGTGGGAGGAGGAGGCATGGCGAGGGCGTCGTTCTTCGGTGCCGGTGCCGGTGTCGGGTCGGGGTCTTCGGGGAAGTTGATGGATGGCGGGGCAGGTGCGGCTGCGGTGCGCTTTTGCTCGTCGGGGCCGGCGGTGCCGTTGCTTGGATTCTTCTCATCGTTCGGCGGGGAACTTGAGCGTGTCTTTGGCGGCGGCGGGAGGGATGAGGAGGGACGCCAGGTCAGGAGGAAGGGCGGCATGAAGGGGTGTATCCATGGCGGAGGGGCGACGATGACCCAGACGACGGAGGCGATGATGAGGGAGACGCCGATGTAGCCCATTTTTTGTTGTCCTTGCTGACGTCGCGTTGGGAGAGGCCGTGGGGGGCCGCGACAGAGGTTGGATGGGTCGTCGTTTGTAGAGTGAGGGTCCTGGCAGGTAGGTAGTCTGAGGTTGACGTCGTGATGGGATTTGGAGAATGTTGCGCTGCGAGTGCCTTCAGTCTTTGTCAGCGGGTTCAACGGTCACGGTGAGTGGTCAGCTGTCTGGCGTGGGGCCCGCAATGGAAGCTGGAGATGGTTGTTCCCTTAACGGGCGGCTGCTAAGCGACAGGGGTGTGTCGTGTCCCCTTTTGGTGGGGTTCACAAGTGTTGCCTCGGAGGGCGGAATGACGCGCTACGAGAGTGAGATTTCGAGATGGAAAGGCGCGAAGGAGGGAAAAGAGGTACGTACCGCGACGTTCCCTTAGCGCGTGCCCACGTTCAATTTGGCCCGGCCGGGCAACAACCCGGGATCACGGGAGGAAGGGGGGAGGAAAATAAACGAGATGGGCGCTGTCAAGGGCCCAAAACAAAAATAAAGCAGACTGGGAAGGGTCCGACCTGAAGGGGGAAGGCACCGAAGGAGAGACGAAATGTCACCGCCGTCCCGAAGGTGAATCGTTTCCGCCCTGCCGCCCTTGTCCCGCTCTCTGGCGATATTCTTTTCCCTTTTTCCTTTTTATTTTCTTGTGAGTCTCCGCTAAGCTGCATCCATATCAGATATACCTGCCCAAGATGTTTTATGGATGGGCCAAGGGTAGGTATCCGTAAGGCGGGCAAGAGTTCGAGACTAGCACTGCACACTGCACCTCTCGAACCAAATCACACAGCACACAAGACGAAATGTCACGGCGGCAGACCTCTGAGATATCCGGGATTGGTTGTCTTGTGTCGTGTGGAGTGGGTTTGTGCAGGTCGGTACGCATGAATAAACAAATGCCAATCGGGATCCAACGGGCGGTTTCGAAGAATGACAACACGCCAGGAATAACATGGCCCATGGATAGTTTGTGCCTTGCTGTGGACGATAGCGAACATGTCATATTGCATTATCTGCCATTCCCGTTCCCAGGTTTACCTGCGCTCTCCTCTTTTTTTACGGATCCTCGGTGAAGTTCAAGCGTGAGAGAGGAGTCGAATATGCAACTTTGAGGCTTGCGGCTAACTGGGCTGCTACTGGACGCCCCCGTTTCGTGGAATCGTGAATGACATTCTTCAACTTGCGTCCTCCCCCCGCCGCCGCTGCCCATTCCAATCTCTCAGTCACACTCACCACTCGTGCTCTGTATCGTTTTTGATCCCCCGAGTTTCCCTATTCCGGCAAACACCTTGGACGCGTCTGTTCGCGGTTGGTTGCTGCTGCTACCTTACCTGCTCTGTGTCACCGCTACGCCGTTGATCATCGACCTGCATGTTTCAATCGGGGACCGTTTCGTGTCGAGTCAACGCTGTTTGAGAGAGACACGCGCGAGACAACAAACCAACAACCTTTTTTTTCCTACTTTCTCGCTCTTGGTCTTTGGGCTGCAAAGCACATTGCCTCCTTTTTTTTTTACTCCTATCCGGACGGGACCCCAAGCTGAAAAAGGTGAAGCGGCGAAGTGGTCCATCACCGCCTTTTGCCTCACCGACGACGAACCCCTCCCCTCCCCTACCCCCCCTCTCACACCCCCGACCTGCAGCAAGCAAGCACTTGTGCGTACCTTACGACGGGCACAGTCACACACACGAGAACCGGCATCGTCGTCGACTGCCTCAAGCGGAATTGCAGGCCCTGCGAACCACTTTCCACGAAGCCCACCGTCACCGGTAAACTGGGCACCTCGACAGTCGACCACCGCGCCCATCCCTGCTGTCTTCTGTTTTTCTTTGCACATCTTTGGCAGGTTTTCATTTTGCAGCCTCGTTCCGGGGATACCCAGACCTGGGAAAGGAGTGCACGACGACGACGACAGAAAGAGGCAGGGAGCGCCCGTGTTCGTCCAATGTGGTTTTCCGTTTCCCGGCCATGGTAGCCAGTGAGAAGCCGAGGACGGAGGAGGAACCCCAGGAGTACCAGCACCTGTACCTGTACCTGTCCACCACCGCCAGGAACCCGAACCGAACAGTCAGTCACCTGCAAATAGCGGCTGCTGCTGCCCAAAATGCGCTCGCTCACGTCCGCCAACACGCCGGCCGGCTGCAACAATCTGTCGACTGCTTCTGAAGACCTCACCAAGAACAAGCCCAAGAAGCCCGACCCATCCCGGCTTCACAGAAACATCAGGCCATCGTCGCTCTCGCCCGCCACCCGCAACCCCGCCCTATCGTCAGCAGCATCAACAGCAGCGTCGTCCAGGGCATCTTCGCCTGCTCTGCTCTCGCCGACATCGACGCCCTTGCGGCCCGTCTCACCAGCACCAGCATCCGCGGGTCGCAAACCCACGGTCGCCCAGATTCGAGCCCGAACCACAAATAATCCCGCTAGCACGCCCACGCGAAGGTCTGTCTCTGGCTCTGGCATTGGCAGCACTGGCACCACCACCAACACTCCAACCAGCAGACCAAAGACTGCCGCTGCCGCTGGAACTAGTGCTGCGACTGCGACTCGCACTGCTGCCACTGGCCCACCAACCGCAACGGGGCCCCGGCCACGCATCACAGCTACCACCACTAGAAGTAGAAGTACTGTGACCGTAACCACAATTGGCGCAGGCACCACCAAAACATCAAACTCCCACTCCACCACTACAACCGCCGCCAACCCAACCGCCGCCGCCGCTGCTACTGCTACTGCTGCCAATCCAAACCCAAACCCAAACACAACATCCTCTTCGCAATCACCACCCGCGACCGCCTCCAATACCACTACCACTACAACCACAACCACCGACGCCGACGACGCGGCTACCACTGCGGAAACTCCTGCTACTTCCCCTCAGGGTTCTGCCTCCGCCCGACGACAGCAACCTGCACTGTCCTCCAGCTTGCGCTCTCCTCTCCGCAACAGAGACCAAAATGTCCTGAACCCCTCATCTCGTCCTGCCAACGCTGCGCGAGCGAAGCCGTCGCCAACACCTTCGCCCACCTCATCCTCCACACCTGCATCCGCATCCGCCTCTGCGTCCGCCTCTCCCACGCCCACCACAATGCCCCCTTACGACAAAGGGGGCAGCACCACCACCCGCCAGCCGGGAATGCCCTCCCTCACCGCAAAGGGAATGAATCGAGCTCCCCTCACCCCGAAAGTTGCTGCGAAGCCAGCCTCCGTCGTGACCCCCTTGGGCCGCCGCCGCAACGATAATACGAATAACAACACCCAACACCCGACTCTACATGCCGCTGCTGGGGGAGGAGCCAAGGACGACCTGACGAGTCCTGCGCCCTTCCTGGGCAATAATATCACACCGCGATCCGGCCCTCGCCAGAACCGCGTCGACAGCAATAATAGCACTCCTAACGGCACACCGAACCCCGACCGAACCAACGATTGGGATCACCAGCCCACTTTCCAGGCTGAGCCGGTAAGGAGACAAGTCGTTACCTTCAGCCCTGTCCCTTCCTCCGTCGGCAACCGCCACGATGCCGACTCCAAATTTTTCTATGCAAGCGACGCCAAACCCTCAGCGCCCGCTCCCCAGCCCAAGCAGTCTGCTGCTGCTCCTGCCGCCCCACAGCGAGCTTCCACCTTCCTGTACGCCAATGGCAGCGCCGTAGACAAGAATCGGCCCACGTCCGCAGGCGTAGGCTTCACGCCGATGCTCGCTCCCTCGCTGGCACCGTCATTATCACCGACGCTTGCGCCCACGCCGGAGCCGCCGCAGAGCAAGTTCTTTTATGCAAATGGAGCTCCAAACCTGGCTCCCGGCTTCAGGCCGTCTTCTGCAGCCTCGGGGACCGGGCCAACGATCGCAGAGTCGAGAAAGAAGGCCAGGAATTCAGCTGGCTCGGCGAGCGGTTTGTCGCTTGCGTCTCGGCCCATGTCGCCCAACAAGCCGATACAAGCTCCAGCAGCTCCGCCATTAGTTAAGAGCAACAGTCAACCGCAGACTCGGACACAGATGACCAGCCCGCCGCCCCTGGCGCCTTCGATGCACAAGCGCAAAATCAGCATGGACGCCGTCTCTCAGGTAGCCAGCCATGTCAACAGCCGGCCCGCGAGCCATGTCGGCTCAGACGCTGCACCTACCGATGCCATGATCATGTCACAGTTCATGGCTTCTCAATCGCCGACTCCCTCCGGAGTGTCGTCTCCGACAATGGCCAGCTTCTTCCCTAACCAGCCGATCACGATAGCCTCGATATTGCAGGCAGCAGATGAGCTGAGCGAATCTGAAGGGGAGGAAGAGGAGGAGGACGATGACGACGACGATTCCAGGGATCTGGAAGAACTCCACAGCCCGACCCGGTCGAACCACGGCGACCCTCTGAACGATATGGTGAAGCACGCTAGGAGGGAACGCAAGGTGCAGGATCTGGAGATTACGAACGCTTCCCTGGAGGCCATTAACAGATCGCTCGAGAGGCAGCTCAGAAAACAGACGGCTGAGTTGAGGAGGTACAAGAGACTGTCCCGATCTGGCCGTCTGTCCTCGGCACCCTCTGCGCCACCAGCCGAGGTGCCGTCTGAGCCGACCACGGGTCTTGGTATCGAAGGCGTTTTAGATCTTTCGGACCTTAGCGAGGAGGAGGAGGTTGAAGCCGGAGGTGAAGGCGGGGCCGAGGGCGAAGGCGATTTAGAAGACCTCGAGGATTCCATGTTTGAGTCATCGGAGCTTGACGAAACGGACTCTGCCAAATCGGACCCCGAGCGCGACACTCGCCGGAGGAAACGAGACGAAAAGCGACTCCAGCTGGATCTTACCAAGCACAGAGAGCTGCTGGTCGACAGCCAGAAGATCAATCAGAGCATCAAGAAGTGCTTGAATTGGACGGAGGAGCTCATCAAGGAGGGCAAGAAGGCTCTCGAGTACAAGGTCCAACCCAGCGAGGTAAAACTGCCACCACGTGTGCTCCAGCCGGCTTACCTGCGAGACAACGAGGATGAGGAGTCGCGTAAGGATGGCGCGTCAGCACCGAGCAGTCCAGTGGACTCCCCGAGGAGTCTCACGCCAAATTGGAGCAAAGAACCGCAGGACCGCGATAGCGGTATTGAGCTGCCGGCGGAGGGCTCATAACAGCGCCTTCAATACCAACTACACATTATAATCTTTTAAGCAGACCGGGTCTCCCGTCGCGGCCTGGACGTTGCGGCGGCATCGCACAACATCACCACTCACGGAACATTTTCCTTTCACAAAATCACCAAACATTGCATCGGGAGTCAGGATTAGTCGGAACCAGGCGTTTTCTATTTTCTCATTTGTGTCTACTCGGCCTTTCGGCATTCTAACGAAAGGAACGACATCATCGGCGAAGCATCATCTTTCCTCCCGAGAAGGGAGGGTAGAAACACTGCGACTGCTCATTTTCTGCAAACAAACCGGTTTTCCTTTGTCACACGTTTTTGTGTACCAACAGATACCCCAAAGCAACTTTACATATAAAGAACGGAACATACAAGGGCGGGCCGAGTGGGATTTGAAGTCCAAAAGAAGGCGCCCACAACTGATTTTTTCCCGCCTGCGCTTGGTTTGGGGAGGAAGTTTCGACCCTTGCGATATCTCTGCTCATGAGCAGGGGACGCAGGAAGAAGACCAAGAATCAAGACGGAAAGACGGAGGAGACGAAAAAGGGGAACATGCAGATGATGACGAGCCGATGTGTATACTATCGATTCGAGTCAAATAAGACCAGTCAAAGACTCTGATGATGATTTCAAGTTCATGCTTCTTGCCTTTGGCGGTGAGTGATGTCAGATGTGAAGATCAGGGGTCCATCCGGGTCCCTGGCGGGGAGTTCCGAGGGCTGGGCGGCGATGAGGCTGAGGGTTCTGGACCAGGAGTCTGTCTCGATCGGGATGGGAGAAGGAAATATCAGGTCCACATGGGTGCAAAGGGGGGCCGAGGTATTGCTTCTTTCGTACGGGGTGAATGTTTTGCTCAACGGTCTCAATTGCGGAGCAGGGATATATACGGGAGGTGCAGAGACAATGCACCGGGCCCTTGTGAGCCTCCTTTTTGGAGAGCGTGGCTTGGGTGATTGCGATGTCCCGGGAGGGAGGGGAGCTTGTTGGCTGGGGGTGAGACAGGAGGTTGACTGGGGGTGAGGCTTCGGCTCGGAGACGGAGGTGACGGATGAGGCTGGACCGGGGAGGGAGGGAGGTTTTATGCGGGTAAGCACCGAAAGACTCTGTACTCGGTGGGTGCAAGGAGGATTGTGCACTTGGAGATACTGGATGGCGATGCAAAAAGCAAATAGGAAGGAGGGGGATGAGCAAATGCAAAAAGAGTCGGCCGACGGAGATGTCGGAGGCTGCTTGCCTCGTGGGTGAATCGAACACCCGATCTCCTCATTACTAGTGAGGCGCTATACCACTTAGCCAACAAGGCGTTGGAGACGGCAGCGTAAATCAGGAACTAAGGAGGGCTGGGTAAGGATGTGGGGTTGTGGGGACATGCTCTGAGGAGGTGTTGTTAGTGGTTTGGACGCAGGAGTTTGACAGCGACTCTTTTGTTTTACTTAGGGTTTGAGTTAGCTGACGGTTTTGATTGGTGTCTTTAGGAAGGTTCTGGAGTTTCGTGCTGGTTGTATGGGTGGTGGTCTAGTTGGGCAGTGACTTGGTGTTAGTGTGTGCTCTCGCGTTGGAGCGGCTGTGGGGTTGTAGGCTTCGAGACCTACCTAGTTGTTTAGGGGGCAAGCCGCAAAATGGCTGTTACCCTTTTCATGTTTGAGACGCTCTGGGAAGAGAATGGTTACAGCTTACTTTTCATTTGAAGGGAGCCTCGCGTTTGACATCTGTCGACGAGCGGCTTGAAGCCGCCGGACCCTCCACCCATCTTGTATTGTTATTTGGAGACGGGATGGCACAAGGTCGATGGCTTTCATTATCTTGCGAGCGCGAGCTACCGGAAATGCTTTGCGATACATGCTTTTCGGAGCGCATATTCTCTGACTTTCGGGGTCTGAGATGCGGTGATTGAGGCAGGGTAATCGAGCTTCTCCAGCCTCCGTGGTGCTTTGGAAGGTTTCGTCTTGCCGGAGATATCGACTCTTTCAGACTTGAATACGACAGCCGGGAACTGGGTATAAAATAAGTCAATCTTGTATTGAAATACAGTTCAGCAGGAATGAGATCTTGAATCTCGTCGACTGTTCAGCCTCCTTTCGCAGTCTACAGACTTTGCATCTCGATGTATGAAGCAAAGGCATGCTCGCGACGAGTTGTAACAGATGGTAGACACTGTGCGGCTTCTGCTGCTTCGGCTTTGTTCTTCATCTCTCTATAGGTATTCGACAAAAGCATCACACAAATGTCAAGAGATGAGGGGAAGTCTCATGGGAGTGCGTCGTGTGGTACGTGTCCTGGTTGGGTTCGCTTGCATCGAGGTTTTCACCATCTCATGACGGCGTCCACCGAATGCAACATAGAGCTGAAAGTCTTTCCAAACAGATCATTGGCTTGGTTCCCTACCAAATACTTCATCCACCTTTCTTTATATACGCGCCTCGAATTGTGGTCTTCCTTTTCCTCCAGCGCCGGTGATTGCCCACGAGCATGGCGTGGCTTCAGCTATAAGAAGCCGATGCTGGCTGCTGATAAACGCATACGCACCAGGATAGTCATTTCTGAGAGTTCTTTTGCCTATTAATGAGATAGAGATCATGCCACGTAAGTTTTGACTTGATTTGTCGGCCGCTCTCTATCGATAGTCAGGATTTGCGGGCGTGGCTCTGTCGTCTTTACCTCTGGGTATATTCTAACCACATAATCAATGCTGGGGAGACACTGATGAGTCTCTCCCTACTCTTCACGAAGTTTGAACGCCCCTTCGAGAGATAGCGACGAGGCTCCTATGATGATTACCTTGAGTAGCCTGTTTCTGCGACTACAACGTCGGACATTGGCTTGTCTACCATCAAACTGAGGAAGCTCGGTTTTTATGTTCAATTTCAGTTCATTTCTTTCTTGCTTGATACCATAGTAAGTGCTGAGAAGAGATCTGCTATTCTGCCACTTGCGGACAACTCAGATCGACAATGTCACGGTCGTCATCACGCACCACATCTATCTATATGAATGGTCTCAAACACCTTGACATCATCTCAACAATGGATTTCGTTGGAGCCGTTCTCTTTCGAAGTGCTTGCAAAAGCTCGAATCTTAATTTTGTACAAGCTTTTTGAAGTATGAATAGCATGGTCGCTGTCACTATGATCCCCCGCTTTCTCTGGATTATTCATGTATGATGCACTGCAGCTCTTTCAGACGATAGAGACGTCTATGATGTCCACGGATGAGTTCTGGGATTGTACTTGGCAAGCTTCTCGTGATTTGTGGTGATCGCCGTTCACCGAACGGGGCCAGCCTCATTCGACCACATCGCAAGTTGTGTTCAATTTTTGTGAGGGAGGAATAAAGCCTATATCTTTTCCAACATCTTTTATAAACCTTTCACGCAGTTTCAACCCTATGGAGCCCTCATTCCATTTTCTGCGACAGCGGCGGTTGAGACGTTGCGTCGCCATGGAAGAAGGCCCGAGATTTGAAGCAGCAGGCATTGAGGCGGCATGTAGTATATTAGCTCAGATAGCTCTGCAATTGGAAAAAAAACATAAGCAATAGCAGCCTTGGGTGATACGGTAGCTCAATATCTTTTCAAGAGGCCGTGCTTGCCGTTCTGAGTGGTTGTCTTGACTCTTGAACGTTTTCGTGCAGCGGGCAGCTTTAATTATGTTTCGTCATTTTGAGTATATTCAACGTAGATGATGAGAAAGAAAAGGCGAGACTGGAGTCGTTGATAGGATGAACATTTGGGAGTCCAAAGACCGCTCAAAATCCGCTCGAGAAGAAAGCAACATCTCCCCAAGGAGGTTCTGCATAATCTTGGTAAACGTCACGCAATTGAAGTGGCGATGGCTTCCGGAATGTACGAACTGTGACGCGGACTGTCTGTCTAATGATTGTGTATTGTTGTTCATCGTTGTTCACGGTGTATTCGCTACGAATAAGCTGTCCATGATATTCACAAAATTTATCAACACTACTCAGCTGAGAATGTGACTGAAGGATCTCTTCAAGTCACTCGAATGCTTTCCCTTAACCACAGAACAATCAAGCTCAACCCATCAAACTTCACCAAAGTTAAATTGTTGACCTAGATTCTGGGTTCTGTGACACCAAGAAGGTTTTATAGCTGTTTACATTAGGACTACACTAGAGTCTTGGGGAGGGTTAATGCGTACACGATGATACTAAAACTTCAACCACCAGCATGTGTGCAGTTAAGGTGGACAAGTGCCAGTCTTGGATCTACACATGAAGCCCAGGGACTCCTATCAATCGATGAAGAGAAGTTGCGTGTGAAACTTGCTAGGCGGTCCAACTCAAACTGTCGAATTTCCAAAATTCAAGCTCCAGTCCGGCGTTCTTCGCCATCTCAACCTGATCTTGACAAGTCCGCGAGACGAAAAGGAAGATTGATCATTTCTTTGTCATTTCTTTGAATCTTCTGGATCCTGTTGGAGCTCGTGAGCCATACAGCTTTGTAATGTCAAGTTCCCCCAAGATAATTCTGTTTCTTCAAGGGTATTGCGACACGTTGCTGCTTCGTGGATTAGGATCCTCGACACGGAAAAGCTCCAAAGCTCCGCATGGGCAACGCAAGCATTGAGACGCCGGGAAACAGCACGTAAGGCAACTCGCAACTCAAACGGAAGTACCAAGCTCTGATTTGGCATAAATTAAGCGTGTCTCATCACTCTTCCCCTAGTTGAAAGCAAAACGCCGGGAATTGCTACCTAGCGAATCTCCCGTACCGTATGGGTTATGGAAGTTCATCAGCAACAAAGATTTCGGCAAGGGCGAGGTAGGGAGGATTTTCTGGGAAACGAGCTTCTGGGAGCCGAACTTGTGACTTTATATAACAGTTCAAAACTGGACTTGAACTCTGGAGTTTCGACAGGCATAAGTCGTAACAAGCACAAATATTAGCAAAACAAAACGCCAAATCGCAAGCGGATGGTGGCTGGGTAGTGATTTTCTCACAAACAGCGCTTTTACTCCCTTAGAGAAAAGAAGTCGAATCATGTTGGTTTTGTTTATTGGGGGGCTGCAGTTCAGAAACCGAGTCCGCTACTGACCAATCTCCACCGTCTCAGTCTTCCAATCCCCAGTCAACGAACCACCAGCACCAGCGCCGACAGACTGCAGCTTCTGCGGCTGCTGTAACAACTCTTTCGTGTTCAGTCCGGGCCAAACGGCCATCCACTTCCCTCTCATCATTGCCTTCGCCTTGCCTGCCTTCCACACATCTTCTGGAACCCTCGGCTCGCGTAGCTCGATAACATTGCTCACGCTCTCACCAGGAAGCAGCGTTACTAGGGAGTCGGCACCTGGTGGCATCTTGCGGGTAAGTTTGACGGCGTCCATGCGGATAGGCTCCGACGCCCCGGCGGGCGTGATCGAAACTAGACCCAAGCCAAGAGCGGCCTCATCAAGGGGAGAATTCCACTTCAGGATCGTCACGGGAGTGTCGGGGCTAGCGTTCTTGACCGACACCGAGACGGTGGGGGTTTTGGAGGCGGCGGTCTGTGAGAGGCTCAGTTGCAAATCGGGAAAGGACGACTCAGACTCGACCATCGTGGACGTTTGTTGGGGAGAGAAGAAGTAGAGAGAAATGAGAATGAAAGCGCCTATAGCTAAGGCGGTTGACAGCGATAGGCGTCCTCGGCTGCGCTGCTGGGCAATCATGTGTATAGCTCTGTCCCTGTCTGGGAGACAACAGACTGGTATGATGCGAATGCCTCTTTGGCGGTTGAATGTTGAGTGAATTGAGCGGCAGCATTGTTGACGGACTTCTTGGGGGCCCCGTCAACTCTGGGACTGGATATATGCAGGTAGATGAGAAAGGGAAGTTGCCACTGTGAGAAGGAAAAGTTGCCGTTGTAAGACTAAGAAGGAAATGTTGCCATTGAAAGCGGGAAAAGTTGCCGTTGTAAGAATGCTGTCGTATTATTCACTCTCGCTTTGCGAATCTTCAAGGGGCTGCAAGTCCTTAATGATGTGTTTGTGGTTCGTTGTTGAGTAACTAACAGGATGAGGAATACGAGAATTCCATATGAGAGGCGCACTTGAGGCAACTGAGCAAGCGGCAAGTTTAAGCGACGTTTGTAGAATATTAAAAGCTGTGACACGTGCGGGGCAAGCTTGTGTTGATTCTGAATAAGGTCAGTTCATGTCGAAGAGGCCAGTCTAGAATCTTTCGCCTCGCCGTGCCTCGCTAAATCGTAAGTAAGTGACCCCTTGAATTAACTTCTCACTTATGCCAAGTCGGCCAAGACAGCCAAGACACTTTCTGATTGGTGGCGCACGGTTGTGAAAACAAACAGTGAATGAGGAGACAGGATTTAAATCAACACACGGCTTCAATAACTTATTACAAACCAGGCAACTCCCCCACCATCAATCGTTGTGATCGACAATTCAGAACAACCATAATCTTCCGAGGAGAGGGGCCGGGACCAACTTGCGGCTGTCCTTTTCAATCTTCCAATATGCTTACTAGTCAGCGTTGACCAAAGTGCCGCCTTTCTGGAATTCGAAGGCACAGACAATTGTGATTCGACCCCTGTTCCCAGGTCACTGTTCATCAGCCTCAGTTTCCCCTGGCGAACGTGTCGGAAAAGTTGCTGTCTTCTAACCCCATCCCAAAATTGCTCGTTTTCAGTGGCGGAAAAAAGCATCTACATCTTGAGATTTCATGCTCCACGATACGACTCATGTTTCGGTCCAGGCTGAATGCAGCCTCCCACAGCGGGGCCGGCAGGTTGCTCCTTCACGAGGATGTGAAGTAATAAAGTCGTGCTCTTCCGCTGATGAAGGAAGGATATTCTAGTCACAATTCAACAGCTGAGCTGCTACCGACCAAGTCCGGAAGATAATTCATTCATCCGCCCATTCATTCATTTATTCATTTGTTCTTACGTTCGTTTCTTCCACATCCCTCAGCCAAAATGAAGGCCGCCACTCTTGTTTCCTGCCTTGCAGCCCTTGCTAATGGCGCTGCTATCAACCTTGCTCGCCGAGATGCAAGCCCTCTTGATGTCAAGATTGAGCAGGTCGGCAACAGCGAATTGAAGGCCACCATCACCAACACCGGTAGCAGCCCTCTGCGAGTTCTCAAGACTGGTTCTATTCTCGACGACACTCCCGTCGAGAGGGCTCAATTCACGACCGCCTCTACTGACGGTGGTAAGTAGAATTTACTATGACGCTTTACATATAAGTTGTTTGTTAGGATAGTCCTCTCTAATGAATCCAATAGTCAACAGAGTTGCTTTTAACGGCATCCGCGTCTATGTCCGCGACACGAACCTCCCCGACTCTGCCTTCAAGACAATTGGTGCCGGTGAGAAGGTCGAGGTCCAGTGGGATCCCGCTAAGGTACACGACCTTAGCACCGGCGGCGAGTTCAATGTTTCGAGCGTTGGATCTCTCCGTTACGCCAAGGAGGGAAGCAACGACATTGCCGGCCAAATTGTCTACGATTCGGGCGTCCTCACCGCTAAGGTCGATGGAGTAAAGGCTGCTGAGGTCCACGCCGCGTTTCATCAGAGCCTCGCTGCTAAGCGTGCCAACGTCCAGAGCGACTGCACCGGAAGCAAGAAGACGGCCGTTATCAAGGGCCTTGCCGAGGGCCAGAAGCTTGCCGCCGCTGCGCAGACAGCTGCCAAGGCAGGTACCCGCGTGGAGCAGTACTTCCGTTCGAAGTCTTCGGGCACCAAGGCTGCTGAGGTCCTTGGCAAGGTCGCCGACTATCTCGGCAGCTCGACTGCGGATGCCAAGATGTACTGCTCCGATGTTGGCAACTTCTGCGCCAACGCTGCTGCTTACGCTCAGGCAAGTCATCTTGAACGTTTCTTCCTTAATGACGTGAGTACTGACAAGCTTTCTCAGCCCGGCGTCGACGGCTACATTGTCCTTTGCGAGAACTCTTTCGAGGTCCCTGTTTCTGGCGCCGGTTGCCGCGGCATGGACCTGGCTTACCTCATGATCCACGAGGCTACCCACTTGTCTGAGATCGGCGCCACTGACGATGTTTGCTACGGATACGAGGGCTGCGTCGACACCATCAGCGCGTCTCAGTCGCTCAACAACGCGGACACGTTTGCCATGTACGCCAGCGGTATCAAGAACAGCTGCTAAATAGGCGAGGGATTAACTACCGTCAACATTCCGTCAATATGTTTTGACAAATTTCTTTGTACATCTAGCAAGTGCTTGACGTATCTCTTACATAAAATGATTAGGCCTTGACGGCCATAGAACTGAAAATACACAAGAGCCACGCACGTCGTGAACGTCCGTGGATTAACAGTTGCAGCTCATAATAACTTGCCAATGACTTGAATGTGTCTGGTGAGATTTAAATGAGTGTTTATTCTTCTTGAATCTCAGAGGGTAATCCTCACCTATGACAAGTGCCCAAACCTCTTTCCGTCTTCACAATTAAAGCGAGGGTCAAGTTTAAAGTACACGAAACATTGCGCAATGTGTCCATCCTTGCATTCGATACGCATCATCCCTACTTATATTATCAGAGGTGGTCTTTGGGCATTTCCTTGGCTAGAGTTAAGCAATTTTTTTTAATTTTTTTTGGAAGAGCTGATTAAACTGTTGACTGGGTGATGTGGACATCGGTAAATGAGAGTTCAGAGACAAATGCTGGGGCGATGTCACAGTAGGCGAATCCTCAATCCGAGCTCGTTTAAGTCTAGCTGCAGTCGGATAATTCTTCTGCTCGTCATCAACCGGAGAAGGTCAAAGTCACAAGAGCCGTCCATTTGACCCCAAACAACCAAGACCTCACATATTTCCCCGTCAGAGTCATACGGCAGTCAAAAAGGTACGCCTCCAGGCGGCAAACTGCGAAAGAAAGGTTAGAAGGGAAGAAGGATTGATGATATGGGCATGATGAGGCCATGATTTGCTCTCGAAATTTGACAGTCATGGCGAAAAGAACTTGCCTTGAACCGGTTCTGTATTAGTGCTGATGGGACTATGACCCTTAGCTACGAGGTCAAAGTAAAACAAAGTTCAAACAGCATATTCCCAGATGGAAAAGCTAAGTTTAACCATGTAACGAGCAAATTCCAACACAAAATAAATCGTGCTCTAGTGCCAATTTGTGCCGGCTACTCAACCCCTCTGTGGCAGACTTCCCATCTGTCTCCTCGCAAAATCTAGGGTATCTGCGACCAACTTGTTGGCCGCATCTTCTCGGGCCTTGTCGTACACCTTGTCCTTCTCGAGGTGATCCGCATACTTCTTTTTGAAGTCCTCGTATTCATTGCGGATCTTCTCTTCCTCTTCGTGTCGCTTGTCTTCAGCCTTGCGATGCTCATCATCTGCTTTGATGCGCTTAATCTCGTCATCATGGCGCTTCTTTTCCTGCTTCCTGTCATCTTCCTCGTGTTTCTTGTCAATCTCATCGTGGTCTTTACGCTGCTTCTCAAGGAGTAGGATTTTCTCAGAAGCCTTCAGGAGCGCGTCGGACTTCGAAGTGAGTTCAGACTGGGTAGTCTCAAGCTTAGCCGTGACGTCATGCAGTTGCTTCTGGAGTGTCTGCTGTTGCTTGTCCAAATCTCCGTTCTTCGACTTTAGCCCACAGATCTCTGCCGTCAGTCTCTTGTTGTCTTTCTCTAGGATCGAATTTTTATTCCCGAGCACACGCAAATCCTCTTCGAGGCGGGCTTTCTGCTTTTTCTCTTCTTGAAGCTGGGCATCTGTCGCATTGAGCTGAACATTAGCGGTAACAAGGTCCTCCTGAAGGCGATTGATTTGAGCCTTGAGCTTGTCCAGCTCTCCGCGGAGCTCCTTGATGATCTCGTGATCTTTAATGTCGTGTGCCGAAATCTTCTCTATCAGTTGACTCAGCTCGTTCTCTTTGGCATCTGCTTGCTTCTTTGCGTCCACTAGGCTCTTGTCCAGAGCAGCGACTTTGCCTTGACCCTCAGCAATCTCAGCTTTCAAGGCCCTGACTTTAGCTTCGTGGTCACCAATCTGCCTCCTGGCAGCATCAAGCTGGTATTCACTGTCGTGCAGCTTAGAGTCTAGCGTTTTGAATTGCTAAGTGATGGTTAGAGACCATACTCTGCAAGACACCTAGACATTATTGAGAGCTTACCTGCTCAGCATATTTTGCTTGGTATCCAGCCTGGTCGATGAATGCAGCTGCATGAGTCAGAGTGTCGACCAATGTTCGAGGGAAGGGCATCGGTGCAAGAATGCGAGGAAGCGAGGGCTGAGGCTGAGGAAGCCTGAATTCGGTTTCCGCCTTGTTCGGGGTTGACTCAGGCGGATTAAAGTCGCTGAGTCAAATCTGTCAGTTTTGCAGGTTCATGAGAGGTGTTGAAACTCACTGAGAGTGGCGATCGATCAAAGCAGCGAGGGTGAAGTCGCCAAGGTCCTTGGCGGAACTATCCTGAGGTGACTTCATGCGGACGGAAAGCTTGCCGGTTTGTCGGTTGAAGGTGCAGTCCAAGTCATAGTAGGAAGTGTAAGTAAACCTGACAACATCATCGTTCTCAGTCTGAATCTTCTGGTATTCACAACGGAGAGACGGATCGTTGGCTTTGCCAGTATAGCTCTTCGTCCATTGCCAAAGAGATATGATGGGCCTGCCTTGGCCGAAGCCCTCAGGAGCGATGAAGGTAGCCATCTCGTTTTTGGCGAAAGTGGACCAGTTGATCTTTCCGGTCCAGACTCGGACAGTGTCATTGGCCTTGCCGCCGTGGGAGTGGGTACCCCAAACACGCTTGAGAGTCGATGAGGTCTCATGGCTTGCGCAATCTGACATGGCAATCTTGATGTTCTCGTAGGCTCGCTGGCTGGTGATCTTCCACGAGAACTTCGGGTGCTTCAGAGTGAAGACATCGTCTCCCTTGTCGGTCTTGGAAACCTTGTCAATAGAGATTGTCTGAAACCAGTTGGCCTTCGGCACTCCGTATTCATCCCGCGTCCACTGGAAGAAGACATAGGCAGTGTCACCGGTGCGAACAGCTCCATTTGGCAGTATAACGATGAATGTCTCGTCCTCGGCCACCGCTGCACCCTTCCAGTTGAGCTTGCCCAGATAGACGTACATCTTGGTGGGATTTGAGGTCGAAGCAGAGGGGTTCTTTGGACCCTGGCTAGTTTTCGGTGTGGAAGGAGGCAAAGAAGGATATGGAAGATGATTTTTGAGTATCTTTATGGGGATAAATGGGATGGAGATGATCTTGAACGCGAAGTCGATGAGCATTTGAAGTGTGGGGGGTAATCGCAGTGTGGGTGTTTTCTCATGATACTTCGTTCAATCAGTTTGCCGTTTTCCGATCTTATACTGCAGGGTTGAGGCGTTTATTGACAGGAACTCGTTAGCAGCATGAGCTCTGGTGCAGCTTTCCACGTTTTCGCTAGCCGGGAGGAGCTGGTCATATGAGATCAGATTTTGTTTCTCATTTATTGCCTCTAAAAGTGCGTGTCATGTCTAGTTTAATTCGGCCCAAGCACATTGTGTAGCTAAAGTTGCCGGAGCTGAAGTGCAAAGTTTCCTTATCCGGCAAGATACGAATTAGTTTTGTGAAAACGTCAATGCCACTCACAAGCCACGTTCTTCCTCGTGAGATATTTCAACACAGTGAAAACCGAAAACATGTCTAGCTTTTCGATCCGCGGGGAAGCATCAGTCGATCCTCCCTGTTTCGGTAGGCCTTAGCTGCAGAAAGACTCAGAGAGTGGACATTGATTCCTACTCATCTCGCGGGTCCCTACCAATCAGAATCTGAAGTTCGGAATGGGTTCAAGAATGAAGCTATTATGGCGGCTCTAGCCGACGGGCGCCGTTCTCGCATCGCCTAGCTCCAGATTGCTTGTAGGAAGAACCCAGAGCAATGGTTGTCTCACTTCCGCGTTGAGAAGACCGGCCGAAACGCCACAGAATTGCGGGACCAGAATTTCTCTGGCCCCCAACATGGCGACGTTGATTCCCGTGGAATCTTCCATGATAGATCTGCCGCGTCTTGGGGTCAATCCAAGAAACTGGACGGGTTCGCCCATTGCGAGTTTCCCTTCAACGACTTTTGATCATCTTCTTCTCTTTATACATGTTCTCAACGACAGATGTGCCAACCTGCCAAAGTCTTTCGGATGAGCTCCTTCCACCGGAATAAATGTCGCAGAGCACATGCCAGACACTCAATCGAAACACGCAAGACGGAGAAAAACACCGATGAGGAATCGAGGATTGCGGGCACCAACGTTCGGGACGTCCGTAGAAGCCTCCACGATCACTGGCGATCGGAGGGCTTCTGTGCCAAGCTGCTAGATGTCTTACACGCAATGAAGCCGTACGTTCCTAACGTTTGCAGTGGCGAAATCAGAATGACGTGAGTGGGCAAGCCACCAATTGTTTTAGGCAACGGCAGTGCCCATCTTCAATCTGAATATGACCTCGATGGGTTGAATTCTACTATCTTAGACCCTAAAGCTGATGGGAAAATGAGGAGGTGTTTCTCGTCAGCTTCATCCACAGCCGTTCACATGCAGAAAAAAGAGCTATCAAGATCGCATAGAGACATTTTGAGCAGACACAAGCCGTACACGGATTATTACCACGACACTCACATTTGTAAGTGAATCTCCTCACCAGTCATTTAATTGTTACTCACCTGTGGCACTGGTCTTTTCAACTCGGCTGCACGACGGCTGTTCCCTTTGTAGCCAAGGCGACCCTGATGGCCACGCAAAGTTAGCGAAGGAGTATCCGATAGCTTGGTTCCCTCTTTCTAATTGATGGGATCCCCCTCACCCCAAGGGAACGCAAACCTAAGATTTTTGGGAGCTTCTCATCGTTACGTCAAATATCTGCAGGTTGAAACCTCCCATCAGAGGGAGAGACAGACGCCGTTCGTGTTCATCAAGCGAGAAAACGAAGTCCGTAAGAGCGACGAAAGGGGGTCCCCAGAGAGTTCACAGTCGCAGCGATAGAGAGCACTCTAACTACTTACAAAAGGTTCTCGATGATGCTATTAGCGTCTTGGAAGAAGGAACAACCTTTTCGTCCTTTGCGTCCACGAACGCTCTGAATTTTAAGGTTCGGCCCGAATATGAGTCACTGAAGAAGAACACTAAACATGGACAAATTAAAATGCTATCCATAGAGCATGCACCAAACTTCCTTCTCGCAATCATCCACCACAGAAATGGCGACAATCAGCAGGGAGCAAACGTACGCCGAGAATCATCCATCAATGTCCGCCACCGGTCTCACGATGACGGTATTTAATCGCGAACACCAAAACACATTGCAGAGCCGTCTCTGCGCTCTTCCTGAGGAGCTCGTCCTAGACATGTTCCACATGCGACTTGCCGATCTCACGCGTCAAGTGTCCCATCTCTTTTTCCGGCTTTGTCGGACAATGCGTTTTCGAGAACTCAACTTTTCCAAAGAAACTGACTCCCGAACCAATTATGACAATAGGTACCATTATCGTGGACATGACAACAGATGTTTCAGTCAATTTCATCCAGACTACAACATCGACTACAACATCGAGTACGAATATGCCAGGAGGATCCATCCCCCTCTCCTCAGCAGCCCGCTCGAGCTTCGGCAGCACAGGTTTGCAAAATGGTGTAACTGCAGCGAGAAAGTTGCGTTCACTCTGCGGCGTCAAGCTCTCTGCCAGCCATGCTCGCAGCGAATCCCGGACGAACATGAGTTGGCTGAGCAGATAGCTCTCCACACGAAAGACGTCTGGTGCTCTGCTTGTGAAGAGAAGCATGCCAAGATGTGGTTTTCGTATAAGCAGCTGCTTGAACATTCCGAGGGCTCAAAGCGGTGTATTCTTTGGGAAGGATGTGTCTGACTATGTTCTCATCTCTCTTTCAGATGGAATGATGTCAACAACTGAAAAAATCGTAAACGCAGTCTCCGCGATGGAGGGAGCTTTCTCAAATGCCACCAGTGCCTCGTTGGAGTCAGTGATGCACAAAATCCGGCGGTAAGAGCCTTTGCCGAGGAGACTAAGATGGAAAGTGGCAGGCAGAAAAAGCGTTACAAGATCGAAATGAGTTGGAGACTCCCCATTTCTGTTATCGAGAGCTGCTCTTCCAGGCAACGACAACATGCTTTGCCCACATGTCACCTGGAAAGAGATCCTGAGGCATGTCGTACCAGGTCAAGTTCCGGGATCATTGGAGTGCTCTATCTGCGGCTTCCAGTATTCATGGACCAAAGCAAATTCGGGAGAAGAGACGTACATCCAGGGATGGCGAATGCTTTGGAGATCGCAAAGAATTCCGGAAGAATTTTATTACTCCGATCTTCAGCATGCTTCTAAATCTCTTTCGCTAGACCCAGAGTCATACCAAATTCACAAAGACTTCTCAAAGCATGTCCTATGGTGCAACACCAAAGGATTTTACAACGCTCAGGGTGACTTCAGGAACATCTTGCGCAACGACCAACCCTACAAAAGATTCGTTTACCGCCCTTAATGGCCCGAGTATGTTTGGTCGTCCATTCCTTTTGGTTTTGGCAACACTGACTAATTTTCATGTCTCGTTGTAGCAGATGCAGTTCTTCTGACACATACTTGTGTGACGAACTACGAGTAACCTTACGAAGATATACAAGCCGGTCATCAATAACCCAACTTTGCAGCTGCGCTACTGGACCTCCTCATTTTGAATGTCCAAATTCAGACGAAAGGAAAAGTGAGGTTACGGACGAGGCGATGGCGTATGCTGCACGTTTACTAGACGAAAGCGCGCAAAATTGACTGACAACAGTTGAATTCAAAGTCAGCATGTTCTAGGAGACTCTGAGTTTCTTTGAGATTTTGCTCTACTCATATCATTCTTGGGAATGTATGTACCGTAGTATATCCATGGGAGCATTGAGTGTTTGTATGTTGTATGACCCATCGAAGACCATGGCAGCTTGTGAGAATATAACATGGGCTTAGAACCTAAAGGACTTGGTTCCAGATAGGCCTTGAGCCTGAAGATATCAGGGCTAAACAGGGTCAAAGCAGGTGTCGGGAGCTTGACCTAGCTAAACATGGGAATATTCTCTTCACCTAGTGGAGGAAGTTTTGAACTCACTTGAGCTGGAAGCATATCTTTCGTCGAGGAGTGAAGTTTGATCTGTGCCAGACCAACCATATACTTTTATGTGTAGCTTCATTCGCGAAAGCAGAAGCAGAAAACGTCGTATGGTAATGATAGAAAGGAAATAACTGTGTGCGGCAACATGGCGGCCAATGCTACACAGTCAAGATGGCCCTGAACATATCAAGCCACATCCTAAACGTCGGATCCCTCTTTCTCCCTGATGGCCCTTCTAGGCGCAAACCTTAGACCAGTTTGCCAGTTCCCAGACGCCAGCTGCCAAATGATTCAGATGTCTCAGTAACGCTTTTGTAGACGACTCTTCCCATTTACAGGCTGTTAGAATCTTACGAAACGCCTACGTGCCGATAGCTTAGATGGGCCGCATAGGTCAAAATGCTGGCTAAACCGGTTTTTTTCTTTTTTTTTTTGTCATTTCCTTCCTGGTGACTGGTATTCTCAAAAGGTATACCAGCACCCACGAAGTCCGACTAATGCCCTAGCTTCTTTGAATAAAAAACGAGGGGAGGATTTGAGGCTTAACCTTTACTTCTTGGCGCCTCGTCAAGTGTCTGCATTTTTCATCCCTCACCAGAGCTGAAGACGCAGGTCGTTCGGATGCACAACAGAACATGAATTGAGAAGAGCAAGGGAAAAGGTTTCACTGGAAAATTCGTAGGCTGACAAAAAGGTATTCGACGCTATCCATAGCGTCTGCGGAAAATGGACGACCCCTTCGTCCTCCGACGCCATCGGAGACACAGATTTGAGTCATTGAAAGACAACGGTACAAGTATTAAAGCATCAATAAACGGCACTCTCCAATATTTGCACCGAACATCCATTCTCGCCATATCCATCACGCAAGTGACTACCACCAGCATGGAGGAGCCGAGCCCCACGACGGCGGTGCTCGATCGAGAGCACCCGAATAGGGCACAGAGCCGCCTGTGTGCTCTTTCCGAGGAAGTCATCGTGGAGATTATGTATCGAATGCGGGAAGCCGACCTTTATTTTATGCGACACGTATCCCATCTGTTCTTCAGACTCTTTAGAGAGAAGCGCTTCGGGATTTTCAGAGACAAGTGGGAACCGTCCTACTTCAACTTTTCAAGACACCAGGGTTGCGCCTGCCATAGGGAAGTACAGCTTAAGCTGCGACGTTCATTGCTCCTGTCTACAGCTAGGGCACCGCAGTTTCTCTTCAATGCGAGCCATGCGAATCTCTGCCAACCATGCCTGCAGCGTATCCCAGACAGAACGGAATTAAAGCTCCACCTGGCTCGCTATGAGGAGAAACTGTGGTGCTCTGGCTGCAGACAGGAGCACCAAAGACTGTGGTTCTCAACAGAGCAGCTCTTCAAGCTTAATAAACGGAAAAAGAGGCGCTGTATCCTTTGGGAAGGGCGTGTGCGGCTATGCTCGCATGTTTCTTTCACATGGGGCCATGTGAGGCATTGGGTTGAGGGCAAACACAATTCCAAGCCCGACGGCTTCGCCTTTCTCGAGTGCAAACAATGCTTTAATGGAGTTGATGGAGCCAAGCCCCCGAAGATTGAATATTCTAAGAAATCCCCTGGTGACCATGGGGCAGCCAATCGTGAGATTGGAATGAGGTGGGCAGTCCCGCTCTCTGCGGTTGACGACGAAACTCCTGGTCATCACGGCTACGACCAGCTCCTCTGTCCTCATGTCACTTGGAAAGAAGTTCGAATTCAAGCTAACGAAGAGTATTGGAGATACTTCACGTGTCAGAGCTGCAACTTCAAATATTTGTTTTCGTCAGACAAAGAGGGGACAGAGACGTTCGTTCAAGGGCGCCGGTTACTCTGGAGTAATGTCCAGGACGAGAACAAGGACAGCGACAGTCGAATTCAAAAAGTGCGCTTGCTGGACCCGGAATCGTACGAGATAGACACCAGCTTGTCGAAAAACGTGTTGTGGTGTGACAGCGAAGGGTGCTTGAACGCCTACACCAACCCCAACTTCCACTTCGACCGCATTTTGAGCGAGTACTTCCGGGTTACATACCCGACGCCTTACTCAGAGAGCTCTGATCGCTGCTATTCCTGCCAGGGCATGTCAACGACACATTTTCCTTGGCCATCAGACGTCCTCAAGGAGTTCGAGTTTTGCTCCTCTAAGGGCGTCAAGTACGTCGTTGATTACCTTCACGCGCGATTGTGCGACCTTCACGCGCGATCGTGCGAGTGGCAGCGCGAGGAGCTGCGAGAACAATATGACAAACACCCCTGGCTTTTTCTTGACTACCTTAAGCGGGGAAACGATTCTTAGTTATCAATATATGTAACTGAGGTGTCTTTCGGTTCTACACAAGATTGCAACGCTTCGAATTCACCCCGAGCGCGCTCTGCCACACTCGTTCCTCGCTCGTCACGTCTCCAATCGTCACATTCCAGAACCAAGTCTCCAGCAACGGAGTGTTCGCAGCACCGGCCCACTCCAAGATCACAGCCTGGATACCGTACTCTCCAGGCGCGAGGTTCAGGGACTCCGGGATCGAGATGTTCGGGATCGTGTCATTGTACCCGCCGGAAAGTTCCTCTACATCGGCAAAGGTCAGCACGCGCATTTGATGATCTATCTCCATGCTCGGCAAGAACAGGCACAACTGTAGGAGAGTAACGTACCACGCAAATTGGTTCGGTGGAATTCGCGACCAATGCTTCCCGCGTAGACGGCAGACGTATCGCCGATGCCCCAGATCATGAGATCCTGCCTGGGCTGCATGATGGCCGTCGTGACCGGCGCTTCCCACACGTCGCCGGGCTTGATTGTCTGCGGGAGGCCGATTGTCTGGAGGTATCCCTGGGCTACGCCACTCAAGAGGGCCGCGGCGGTGGTAATGATTGTTGAGGTGCGCATTTTGAGAGGGTTAATCTACAAATTTCGTATCAAGACAGCTTGGCGATGTAGATATTTTCCCAAGAAGCTGAAATTGCTTGTCAAATCAAACATCGGGCTCAGTGTTTTATAAGCATCGTATTCTGCTACTTCTAGGTCTTCGTAAGAAAGGATCTTATGTTTTCCGTTAACACCAATGGGCAAGGCAGCAGGCTGACATGCAGATGAACTATCTAATACGGCGTTACATTCACAATTTAACGTCCCTGGTCCGTCATCCGTCTAGCCAAATCCTTTGATGCAACTGTAGTTATTCCAACTTGCGTCGTACCGCGAACACTGCTGGTGTGCTAAAGGGTGGTCGGAATTTGCTCCAAGCCGTCTCCCCTTGTCGCAACGTGCCCGCGAGCAATGCAACCGGAGACGCGGCCTGAACCGCTGAGCCGCATGACTGCATCGGTGGTTACATTATTGTTTCTCGATAGTAGGCATTTTACACCCTACGCTGACTTCGAACCCAACTCGCTCCGTATTCGAGACTCTGGGACAAACATTTCGTGTATGCGGCTACTACCACTGTGCGATGATTGCATGGAACCTCGGCAGAATTCATCAACCTTGAAGGATGTTGAAGTTTCGAGCCCACCCATGGGGGTTCCACAGTAACTCCAGAGCAACCTTGAAGGATATCGTAACTTGGTGCGTCGGAACTGAGAATTCAAGGTGTATCACTCAAGCTCATTTGGTTCACAGACCGCCGCTGAGTCCAGGAAGCCGCGGTTGAGTGTGTTTCGATGTCAGTCCCCGAATTCTCAAGAAACTGGAGACACCCTCGGGCATCTTGCCCCTCGCGAGTGCGAGGTTGGCATACTGATGGTTGGTTTCCGTTGGCCCATCGCGCGTGTGACCAAGGAGACGAAGCATGAGAGCATCTTCTCCATCGTGAGGTCAAAGCCTTCCCACCAGAAACGGAGTATTTGGCAATTTGCAACAATGAGATCTCCCTGAGGTAGACACGGGTTGCTGCGAAGAAAGCAAAAATGGCACGAGCCTTGGCTACGTCCCTTGCCCGTGCCTTCCCCCTCAAGCCACCCCTGGGAGAGGACCTGACCGGCCACGGCTGCGATGAAAGCTGGCGGCAAGCCCTATGAGAGCAAGTTGTGGCAGCAGTCGTCGGGGGGGGGAAGGTCCCCCCAAGACACACGCAGCACCGCGTGGCCGAACGGTCAAGATTGACCACGAGACATTGTAAAAACCGTCGGTTTTTCGTAAGGTTCAACATCGAACCCGAGCTTTTTTGTACTTCTTTTTGCTTTCTTTTCTGGACCCTCCTCTCTCTATTTCTGGTACCGTTGTCCCTCTTACCGCGTCGATAACTTTGCACAAGCTGCTCAACGTCTTGCGGGCTGGTGTCTACACCTGTGGAAGGAAGGCGTGGACCGGAGGGGAGGAGGCTCCTTCCGTACGAGAGCCGGAGCGGAGTATGTTCTCCCGTGTTATGAGGAGGTCTCGGCAGAGACCAGGTAGGGTATGGAAGGAGAAACAGGCTCTTTATCATGCGAACTCGGGCTATCACAGGGGCGGATGGCAAAGCCATGACTAGAAAAGCGAAGCATGCTTCAGCTCGCCGCCCACATGCCCGAGGCAATAGGGCCGAGATCGATTTTAAACTCCGCGACATCCATCGCCACTTGGATAGTGGAAACGACTTCGTGGCGGAGCGCAAGTGCGACATCTCGGAAATCACAGACATCACAGCCCGTGTGCAGTGGCCGTATGGTATTGAAGAGTATTACACAGCAGTACATGAAAAAGAGGACCCAGCAGCGGGTGCTCGTCAGCGTTGAATATAAAAATAGGCTAAAAACACGGAGGGGATCGGTTATCTAAAGCTCAACAGAAAAACACCACGCCTACGCCTTCTCGGGCTTGGGAACGTTTGGCGCATCCTCCGCCACGTCTGCCGCCGCCGCGTGCTCGTGCTTCTTGCCCTTCTTCTTCTCCTTCTTGACGGCCGCTTCGGCAACGAGCTGCTCGAACACGAGGTAGTCGCCCTCCTCCTCGGGCGTGCGCTGTGCCTTGGAGAAAATCTCGGCGATCAGCACCATGGCCTCGGCGCGCTCCAGGCGCTTGGCCAGCGGCACCTTCTTGTCGTTGAGAACGGCGTCGCACACCTCGCGCAATACGCTCTGGATCTCAAACTTGCTCCCGCGCCACGCCGCCGTCAAGATCTTGCCCGTGACCCGCCTCTCGTACTCGGCCTTGGCCTCCTCGGACCAGTCGGCGCCGCCCTTCTCCTCCATGCGTGCCATCTCCTCGATGGTCTGCTGAGCGTCGATTGCACTGCTAATGGTGTTCCACGTCTCCTTCACGATAGTGCCCTTGTCCTTGACGCGGCTGAAGAAGCCGCCGATGCCCAAGAACTTCTGGCTCCGGAGCAACGCGGTGGCCTTGGCCAGATAGGTCTGGCCGATGGCATGCAGGATATCAAGGCCGAACGACTCCATTTTCATGTTCTCCACCTCGAGGCGCGTCTTCTCCTGGAACGACTTGGTGACGTCGGGCCCCTTGTCGGTCTCGGTCCATACGCTTAGGCGGTCGAGGAGCTTGCGGGCGAGGGTGTCGACACGCTCCTGGCGGACCCGCGCACGCTCCTTGTCGTAGGCGGCGAGCTGCTCGCGCTGTTCCTTAGTCAGGCCCTTCTTCTTCTCCTTCTTGCGCAGCGACTCCTCGGTCTCGACGCCGCCGACCTCGTCCGACGGACGATCCATAAGAGCGGGGCGGAGGGGGATCTGCGTGCGTTTCGAGCCCGAGGTGCCGGAGGGGCTGGGCGAGGGTTCCCTCCGGTAGGGAGGGGGTGCAGCGTCGGTAGCAGTGCCGGAGGATGCGGCGGCGGCCTCGGCGGCGTCGCGCGCCTTGAGTTTTTCCTTCTCGTCCTCGACGACGACGGCAGGGGGTGGTGCGGCGGCGGTGCCGCTAGCGGCGGGCTTCTCTGCCTCCTTCTTCTCGCCATCGGCGGCAGCCTTCATGCTCTCCTTCTTGGCCTCCTCGGTGCCGGGGAACTCGCCCTCGGCGCCCTCAGCACCCTCGGCTCCCTCCTCGCCCTCTTGCATCGTGATGTCCATCGTTGCAGTCAGATCCTTCATCAAGCTGATCTCGCCGATCCAGTCGACGAAGGCGTCGCCGCCAAAGATGGAGGTGAAGAACTCGGCGGGGTCGGCGAAGCCCTCCTGCGGTTTGGCGTGGTCCTTTCCATACTTGTCGTAGGCTGCTCTGAGGTCCTTGTCGGACAGGACTTGGTATGCTTCTCCGATCTCTTGGAACTTTTCGTGGGCGGTGGGGTCGTTGGGGTTCTTGTCTGTTATGCTTGGCGTCAGTGATGCGCGCCCACGAAAAGACCTGCGATGCTCGTGACAGGGCGCTTACCGGGATGGTGAACAATGGCTAGCTTCCTGTACGCCTTCTTGATTTCGATATCGGTGGCGGCGGGCTTCACGCCCAGCGTGTCGTAGTAGGCCGTGTCGACGACCATGGTCGAGGTAATTTTAGGAGGGGTAAAGTTTGGAAGGGGGGGTATCAAGGTACAGCGATGACAGCTAGAGATCTATGGAAGAGTCGCACCGGGAAAAGGGGAAGAAAAACAGAAAAATACGGTCGGCGCGGCAGAGATCAGAGATCGCGGGGTGGTGGCGGGTAGGGATGCCAGCGATTATGATTCAAGCGGTGGACAAGGTAGGTTGGCGATGAGGTAAGGTTGGCGAGGTAGGTAGGTCAGGTACGCAATGTCCTCGTAGAAAATCACAAGGAAAACTAGGCGACGCACGCACACACTGGCCCAGTATCGGTGACGGTGACAGCAGGTGCACCCGACCGGACGGGAAGCCGCAACTCAGCAACGCTGCTGGGCTGAAATTTGGGTGGATTTTCGTTTTTGCGGTGGTGCCCCGCCAAATTACGTCGTTGGAGGTGCACCGCACTCCCAACTGCTCCAGGCCTTGGTGGGCTGAGGCAACGTCCACCGGTGCCCAGCCCGCTGACGGCCCGCCACTTCCCCAGCGAGGTGGCATCTGTTGGGCTGACTGTTCAGCGATGCCAGTCATACTTCAGGCGATGGTAGCTGGCGAAGTCCACTGCGGCCTTGGAGATTACGCGGACAGGGTCCTGCTGACAGGGATGACGTTGCACGGCATCACGATCATGTTGCGACCGTCCTGCATCCGACTGTAGAGTTCCAACTTGCCGTGCAAACATGGTTGCTGCTGCTACCAACCGATCGCAGCAAGCTTGTCGGAGTGATACAGCACCTGCAAATGGCAAGCCACCATCTACACGTGGATGTTGCGATGGAGTTCTCCCGACGGATTCGACCATCAACGCCGTGACGCCCCCAAATAAGGCTGCTCAACGCCGCGAGTCATCCGGCTTCCAGA